TGGCCCATGGGCCTCTTGTTTAAAGTTGTGAACCAAAATGTTTTTGTTTTAATAAAACAAGTATATTAACATTGTTACAATATGATGAGAATTCTCAAGTGATGATGAAAAATTGTAGAGTTGTGTTGTATTCCTTTTGGGTTGAGTGTTATTTCCCGGATAGAAAGAGGTTTTCGAATTTAGGTTTGACACTAAACAAAGAAAAAACTTAGAATGGGTTTACTAGAACTAGTATGTTACAGTCCTGAAATTTATACAGATCTTAAAGGCCATCAATAGGTCATGAAGGGTAAATGAAATATTCTACAGTTGTGACATAAATTTAAAAATTAGCACTCGTTAATAGACAGACAAGATGATGAAACACTGATGCCCTTATATGGCAGCGTATGACGAAGGTTAAAATTTCTCAAATGCTAGTCAAACTCCAAGATTAAAATGTTGTTACCCAAGAAAGGACATATATCAATAAATATACCTATGAAACACAAATTAATTGACTATGTTGTTTTACGTCCCATTCGAAAATCTCGCTCATCTAGAGATGCCACCATGTACCGGTGAAGGGCTTCAAATTTAGACATTTAATCGTAGTACTCGGCACTCAGAGTCATTGAGTAGTGAGGGACCTTTACCGTGCCAATGCCTGCCGTGTGACATAAGGTCTCGGTATTTAAGGTCCTATACCTGAAGGACCCGCAACTTCTACTTCAATGAGCCGAACGAAGTTGCTACCTCTGTTTATCAACTTAGGTAATTCGCGACCGGGATTCGAACCCACCAGTCCTTCCGATCACGGAGCTAGGTGAAAAGGGAAAGTGCAAGCATAGCGATGGTGTCGGTATTTGACTTTGACATTGTCCTTGAATCGAAACATAACCACCCGTATAAGTTGTATATAGAGGAATTAACAAGATATAAGTATGAGGGATTGAATGTTTAATTGGCAAAATTTGAAAGAAATTTCTACAGTTAATTATCCTTGACCCTTCAGGAATGACCTTGAGTCACAGCCATCACCAACACCAACAATTCAATAAATCATAAAGACTGGGCATTTTGCCAGTATGTTGTTGGCCGAAGATATGCTGTATGGACCAGTATTGTCATCTATAAATCAGTGTTAGCAGCCGCTGTTACCACTGTAGGGACTCAAGGTCTTGTCTGTTCGATCTGACATCCTATCAGCTGTTGTGTAGAATCAGTAAGGTCAATAAAGAAACATATCATATAATATGATCCTGGTGAGAGACCAGTTATTGCATGATCCCTTTCGGATTTGTCTATTGGAAAATTTGTGATAACCGAATCATTCCCTCCTAGCTGTTGAAAATGCACCCGGAAATCTTTTACGGATGTCAAGTCCCCATTTACAGTCCAGGAGAGGACTACCGTGGTTTGGTTCACAAATGAAATTCCAAACTGAACATCCGGGAGAGGGACAGCTGTTGTTGTTGAGGTCGTGGAACTGGGGGGAGTTGTCGTGGATTTGAAATCCGGACAAGTAGCAGCTGTAGGCAAACTGGTGCAAAATTCAGACGTCTGTAAACTAGACAGCTCCCTGTTTGCTAAATTGGAGGGAGAACTACATGGCACAGACGTATATCCTCCATTTGAATTGATTGTTCTGAGGAACTGGTACAAACCATAGAGATTGCAATTACAAGCAAATGGGTTTCCATCTGCTAAAACAAATTTCAGTTTGCTGAATCCTTTAAATACACATTCATCTATTACATCTATTTGATTGAAAGAAATGTCAATCATTTCAAGAGAGGTTTTAAGTCCATACAGAGACTCCTGTCTTAATACTGAGAGATTATTTCTTTGCATTTTAAGACTCCCTAGTTGGTTATGGTTGTAGAAAACTAAAGATGGAATGTTGGATAGTTTTGTTTTAGAGATATCAAGGTTTGACAGATTCTTCATGGCTCCAATAGCATCCCAGGCATGTTGTTCTATCAGATGGTTATCCTGTATATAAAGAGTCTTGATAGCTACTTCTGTCCCCTGGAAGATGTCCAAGCTGAAGTTAAGCGGGTTGCTGGCACTTAAACCATACTGGGCTCGTATATCAAGAGTGTCAAGAAGTGGCATGTGGGCAAGTGCACCTTTATGAATAGTATTTATATAATTTTCAGATAAGTCCATAGAGCGCATATTTCTAAGACCTGCAAAATCATTGCTTTTTATCTGCCTTAACTTATTGTTTGTCAGCATTAGGTTGGCCAGATTTGGCATGTTTCTGAACAATCCAGAAGGAATGTCTTGAAAGTCTGTTTGCATATGACCAAGGTTAAGCTGTTCTAGTTTGGGCCACGAATAATTACCCAATGGTACGATGTTGCGTTCATTTAGTTTATTGAGATGGAGTGCCAAAAACTCCAATTTTTCTGTTATTCCATCAAAACATCCATAATCTAGTGAAGCAATCTGGTTTCCTCTCAAGTCCAGTTCAGTAAGATTGTTAAGAGATCTGAATGATCCTGATGGTATGGTTTCCATTCCATTATGAAGCCATGAGAGATGTTCCAAAGTGCGCAGTCTATTAATTGCAGGTTGTGGAAAAGTTGGGACATCATTGTATTCAAATTCAAAGCGGTTGATCACTTGTAACTGATCCATGAAGGCATCGGCAGATACAGAAGTTGTCTGCATGTTTCGTAACCGCAGTGTCAGTAGATTAGGAAAATAATAAAACGGGGAACTTCTTTCAATTCTTGGCATATTGAAATATTCGAGCTGAAGTTCTTGGAGATTAGTCAAATTTTGCATTTGGCTGAATGGGGGTGGCAATACCGAATCTCCACGCAGCCTGATGATTTTTAAATTTTGTTGCAATCCAGAAAAGGCCAATGGATGAACATTTTGCAATCGAATGTTGTCACCATTCATGTCAATTTCTTCAACACGAATTCCCTGAAAAGCATTGGCTTGAAGCACTTGTATATTATTACTTTGTGCAACTAGATCCAGTTTCTGAAATAACTCTGCAGATGAGGTAAACGTTGGCATGACATTGAGGTTACCACATCTGATTACTCGTTTAGTTGATGAAGACACGGTTACACAAGTGCAGCTTGTTGTAGGACATTGTGACAGGGTGTATCCTACTTGCAGCAGAAGGATTATAACCACCAAGGCACTGTTCATCCTGAGAAAATTAATCTGGAAAAAGAAAAATTTATAATTACGTTTTAAAATTTCATTGATATTATTAAATAAATTATAGACATTTAACCAATTATTTAATATTCTAACAAAAAATTGTGGGAAGACTACAGAATATGTACTTGAAGAAAAGTCCAAGCATATTGACTAAAATCGAGATTCGAGAACATGAAAAACCCAAACTTTGCAATACTTATTGTGGATTCGTGTCATGTGTTGTCATTATTACTCATTTGCATTTTGGTCATTGACAATATGTATTGTTTTATTTTATATTGTCACCCCCAAACAAAATTCATTACCATCAGTATTCGAATTAAATAAATCTAGCTCGCTGCTCCCGTATTCCATAACTCGAAATAGTTTTCCGCAAGTTTGTCTTCATTCTTTCTTTTCTTTTCTTTTTTATGATTAGTTACACTGATTATTTAATTAAAAGTCGCGGAAAGGAAGTATCTAGAGAGAGAGAGAGAGAAGGGGGAGGGGGTTACAAATCACTTATAATAAATTCATTCGCGGAAAGGCAGTATATAGAGCAGTAGCGGGAAAAAATAAAATATTAGATAGTAGCTTGAATATCGCGAAAAAGCAGGTCAGCCTCTAACGCATCATGCATGCACTCTTTTTTAGTACATGTACAACATGCTGTCCTCGATTTTATTATGAAACTTTGGAAATATTTTAACATACCGAGAATTCTAAAAGAAAAATTAAAACTACATGTATATGGAAAGAAAAAAAATAATACTTGTACAGAACTTACCTGGAAGGGACAAACAATATGTTAAATCATTAGCATATCAAGTATAATTTATATATAGTGTAATCGTGGTACATAATGCAATACCGGAAAAAGCAGCTGTTTTAAAAATATAATTAATTCTTCGCGACGCAAAAATTTGCCAGACACACAATATAATGATATATACATGCAGATGGGAATGTTCAAGAATATCTATATACATCATAATGAAAATCATGAAATGTATCATTCTACATTTGATTTGATATTGATGTTATATTATTATATTATCACCTCAAACTTAAAACTTCCTTTTGTTTTAACATGTTAAAAACTTTTTTTTTTAAGGACAGATGCTATCCCCCCCCCCCCAAAAAAAAACTTTTGTAAAACAAAACTAAAAATTATACTTTAAATGTTTGTATTAGTGAGCATGGAAATTGTAGATTGCATGTTCGTTAAATTTTTGTAGTGCCCACTAATGCATTTAATTTTATCTAGAGTATTTAATACGTACAAGATGGATTTAAGGTTATAAAATTATGTCCTTTTATGGGTCGGATATCATTCTTTCGTTAGAAAAAAATATTCCTAATTTAGGAAAGGATGACTGCACTTAACGCCGGTTTTTGGGTCTTTTTCAATCTCTGTTGTTACATTTATTTTTGTTTTTATTTTTGTCTCAAGTCATTTATTATAGAGTTTGGTCTATTTCCAAATGAAATGCAATATCATAAAGGTTATAAACTGCGTTGCAATGAAATAATTCGTTGTTTCCTTACCCCACCTCTCTGCAAATATCGGGAAATTAGACTTATCTGCCCTTGATTGAAGATAAGATTTATAAATATGCATAAGAGGTGGAGCTAATATTGTGATGAGCTAGTGGTCTAAAATTAGAATAGCTACTGTATTTATATTTGGTGAATTCTCTCTCTCTCGTCATATGTTTGTCACTATTATTTTTTAAGTTTACAAATAAAGTATAAATAACTAATAACAAATAACATCGACCGGTAGAAGTAGCCATTCTCATTGATAATCAACAGCAATGGCTGGTATCAACAATTCGTGTGCTCGAAAATAAGTGCCGACTAGCTCAGTCGGTAATGCACAGAATCAATAATATTTAGGTCCGGGATCGAGACCTGATAACAACAGTAAGACTGACTTTCTTTTTATGTATTTATTGAAGTTATCACAACACGTGTATCAATCGAACACGTGTTTATCTGGTGTAAAGGAAGAGTGTCGGTCTGATTGGTTAAGGTATTTATAGAATACCTGTTCTACAGGTATTCTGTTAAAGCGAGCACGCCTTAGCATGTGTAAGATTTAAATGTCATTCGAAGGCTCTTTCTCAGTGCAGTCAGACGTTTCGATACAGTGTCCCCATGGATTATGAGCGGCATATTCCTTTGACTGACGAAACACATGGAGGAATTCCTTTGTTACTTGTATCAGAGAAGTCACAGTCCACGTCTAATTCACTTGCAATTTTGCAGCTATTTACACCCAAAAACGTAGCGGGTAAACTTAAATACGAGGGAAACAAGGTACAATATTTGTTAAACGAGAAATTATTGAGAGCTACTTGATATAAACTCAAGGGATTATACGTTTATTATAATAAAGTTGGTAAGATTAAAAAAAAAAAAAATTAAACATGACATAAGTATATTAGAATTGCAGATAGTTTTCCAACAGGGCGGAAGACGGCATGAAAGTATCATTATATAATGAATACTAGTAAAGAGAGTAAAAGGCCTTGTTTCCAATCCTATGGTAAACTTCCCCCTTGCTGTTGTTGCTTTCTTATTCGTCCCTTACATTGCAACACCTCAGTCCAGGGACGTATGCTGCACGTGCTTCCAGACGGGGTTTGTCAGCTCAACAATCAATGCAACAGCAGTTTAAACTCCAATCCATTTGAAGTGATAATGATAAGTATATATTATGAAGTAGATATGTTTGATGAGATACTCAGTAACTGCTTATAAGATAATGATTGAACATTGCAAGTTTTTATCAATAAAATATTCAAATGGGTCTTAAAATAAATGAATAATAGTTTTTGCAATCATTACGATTCCTGGGAAAATATTCTGAGAAATATAAAAATAGCTTATATTCATTTAGCAAATAGCCCATTTAGAATTAGTATGATTAATAATAATAATAATAATAATAAAATAAAAAAATTCTGCTATACAGAACTTTTCGTTTATTTCAGAAAGCATTGGAGATGTTATTAATTCAGGTTGTGTTATAAGGTACATTTGAGCGTCGCAGGAAAAATGAAAAAGAAGTGTTTGATTTTAGATACGATGACATTGAAATGTGAGAGTCATTTGAAGAGTGGGTCAGAGAATTTTAAGGTTTAATTATCAAGTTATCCTTAGACGAGGTAAGATTCAAAAAAAAAAAAAAAATCAATTTTCAGCATAGTGCAAGATTTAAAATGGTCAGGTATCAGGTGGAATTCAGAAGCATTCAAAGTTTCCATTCCAGAAAGAAGAATTCAAAACGAGACAAATGTTGTTCAATTTCTTTCATATTAACCCAAGAGTCAGCTAGTTGTCAGAAAATAATGTTATTATGGGTAACGTTTGTATAGATTGTTAGAAAGATGTTTCTATCTTAATGAAAATTGTTTTACAAACATCATGGGACAGTACACTTTGTTTAAATTTTCATTTAAGAAGATATAATTGAAAATTTGTTCATCATATATCCAAAAATTTTTGTGAAAGAGAACTAAAGATTATACAGAGAATGCACATTGCTGGATACAGTTGCTAGCGCAGTAGGTGCTGGGGTATAAGGACATTAATTGTACAAAATGATAATTGGCTTCTTTTTGGACTTTCATGTATAAAGGCAAAGTTGCAACTCATAAATATTTCACAGATATATTGGAGTGCTAGATGTCTCTGGAATCTACATGTATGTACATGCCCAGAAGAAAAAAAGTTAAAACACTGTTTTTGGTTTTATCAGGTTCTAAGACCATTCTAAGAATTAAGATTTTATGCAATTATCAATATGTCGTGATGATTATAAGTACTGGAAGCATGATATTAGGCACTGTGTCATTGGTAGATGTGCGTTGCTTTGATATGTGCATTGCAGTTGATGTTGGCCCTGGTGCACATATAGGTGTTATTGGACCTGGTACCGTGGTACTGCAGATGTAAAAAACGTATCCCCCCATTCGTTGTTTATGGTCCTGACACTGTTTATGACATTATTGTACTGCAGATGTCAAGAATTAAAGTTTTAAAAATGAATTATCAAAAATATATTTAACTAAGTCATTGTTTAAATTATGGCCCTGGTACACTGATGTACTGCAGATGTCATAAATTAAAGTGTTCATAATGTATTATCCAAAATATATTAAATAAAGCCATTGTTTAAGGCCCTGGTACAAAATGCGAAAATCAAAGTTTTCAAAATGAATTATCCAAAATATATTTAAATAAAGCCATTGATTCAGGTCCTGATACACTATCGTACTGCATATTTCGAACATTAAAGTTTTCAAAATACAAAATATTATAAAATAAAGTCAATTTTTAAGGTCCTGGTACACTTTTCTACTACAGATGTCGAAAATTAACGATTAAAATGAATGATACAAAGATATAAAAATAAATTCATTGTTAAGGCCCTGGTACACTACATGTATTGTACTGCAGAAGTCGAAAATTAGTTTTCAAATGAATAATCTAAACTAATATCGGATAAAGTCATTGTTAAAGGCCCTGGTACACTTTTGTACTGCAGATGTCGATAATTAAAGTTTTCAAAATGAATATTACAATGGTATAAAATGAATTCACTGTTAAAGGCTCTGGTACACTTTTGAACTGCAGATGTCGAAAATTAAAGTTTTCAAATTGAATAATACATACAATGATATAAAATGAATTCCCTGTTAAAGGCCCTGGTACACTATTGTACTAAAGTTATCGATAAATAAAGTTTTTAAAATGAATTATTCGAAATATATTAATATAAAGTCACTGTTCAAGGCCCTGGTACACTAATGTACTGCAGATGTCGAAAACTAAAGTTTTAAAATGAACAATACGATGATATTAAATAAATTCACAGTTAAAGGCCCTGGTACATATATGTACTGCAGATGTCGAAAAATCAAGTTTTTAAATTAGCCATTTTTAAAGGCCCTGGTACATTACTGTACTGCAGATGTGTGAATGTTGTTTTCTTAGCTTTGGATAAAGAATTCATGTATATCAAACAGAATTCATGTATATCAAACAGAATTCATGTATATCAAACAGAAGTTAATCAAGTTGTGTATTGCAGTGACAAGGCCCTGATACACGCAGATTTAAGTTTTCAAATTATATGGTAATAAACCCATTGTTAAAGGCCCTGGTACATTAACAATGTTTGAATTGGATATTCAATTCATGTATATCAAACAGAAGTTAATCAAGTTGTGTATTGCAGTGACAAGGCCCTGATACACGCAAATTTAAGTTTTCAAATAATATAGTAAAGCCATTGTTAAAGGCCCTGGTACATTTTTGTACTGCAGATGTTTGAATGGTGTTTTCTTAGCTTTGGATATACAATTAATGTCTATCCTATCAAACAGAATTAATCAAGTTGTGTATTGCAGTGACAAGGCCCTGGTACACGCAGATTTAAACTGTTGTCTTGAATTAACATTTTTGTTTTGAATTTGTTATTCACTGTGTACGTTTTGCAGAATTGTTTTGGGTTGGTAGGTGAACATCCTTGTTTAACAGCACTCAGGCTCCATCCCTATATTGCGGAGCCCTTAGCCAACTACTTTCTGAAGTCAAAAGCATGAAATACACAGCGATGTACAGGTATGCCTTCAGCAATTTTCTAAGTGATATATATGTCACAGTATATTTGACTTATCTTGCAAAACTTTCCAGTTTTCTTCAAAGGTACAAGCTACATGGTGAATCCTAGAAAAATTCAAGCTTGAATAAGAAGGTTGTATAAGGGTTCTAGAAGAGAACAATGTCAAAAGGATCCTTTTAATTTTATCAGCTGTAGTTGAAAAAGTTTTGGCGAAATAATGAATCATTATATGTAATGAATTGCGTACTTGTATTTTCTATAAAGATATATAGGGTTTTTACTTTTTTCTAAAATTGTTGATATTAGTTCTAAGGTCGCATATTTCTTTTATGAATCTCATCTAAAGTTATTCATTGCAATGAAAATAAAAACTGACGTTTATAAGCGAGGCGCTTTTTGTGTATATGATCACATACGAACTCTGATACTCGTCCAGTTAATATGCTACTTGGGTATCTTCTTTTATCAGATGCATCTGAGACGTCATGAATTTATTTTTAGTTAAAGATAGTTTAGGACTAGATTCCAAAAAAAAAAAAAAATGGAGAACATAGTTTGAGGTCGGGTGGTGATACTGTTGCAGCCGGCGTCAGTGATCATGATCGTCTTTAAATTTCAAGAAACATGGAACATGGAAGACGTAAAATGCTAAAGAGTTGAGAACACGAAAATTTACTACGAAAAACTATCTGTTTTAAAAAGTTGGATTTATAATCTTTATCTCTGTTCTTTCTTTATTGTCGAAACTGCACTTACGAGAGCGCTTCTGTACCTACCTATATACGTGTTGTTATTCATTTTATAAATTATTTATGTTCGTTTGAGTGGAAACGAATAAGAACATAAATGTATTTATTGAAGTTATCACAACACGTGTATCAATCGAACACGTGTCTATCTGGTGTAAAGGAAGAGTGTCGGTCTGATTGGTTAAGGTATTTATAGAATACCTGTTCTACAGGTATTCTGTTAAAGCGAGCACGCCTTAGCATGTGTAAGATTTAAATGCCATTCGAAAGTGCAGTACATTGCCCCGCCCACCCACCCTCACAAGTATCATGTTTGTTTTATTAATTATATGTTTTTGTTTTGTAGAATGGATGCGTTGTCAAGGAGGAAAGTTGGAAATGTATTAATTGTATATAATATTAAACTGCACTTACGAGAGCGCTTCTGTACCTACCTATATACGTGTTGTTATTCATTTTATAAATTATTTATGTTCGTTTGAGTGGAAACAAATAAGAACATAATCGCTTTTATAAAAAAGAAAGAAAAACATCACAATTACTCAATTTTTTTTAGTTTCTTTTATAATTACTTTCCCCTATAAATTAGCGTGCTGAGGATGGTATGATTTCAATTTTATTTACTGGATCTTACTTTGGATGTTCATGTTAAGCAATGATTCAAAACATAATAAATAAATCTCTTTTTTCTTGTAGACTACGGACATGCAGAGAGATGCATTCAAAAATACATAAGGATAGTAAAATGAAACGCTTATGAGATAAATATAAGAATAATCTTATAGATATCTAAGAGAAAAAAGAATAGCCCGTGGCTCGATGGGAATGGATTGAAACAGATATGCAGAATGCGCGTTTCCTTACACGTCACGTGATGGAATTTTAGTATTCACAGAGTTACCTGGGTATAGAAATCACGTGGTTAATTATAATATTCAATAGGTAACAACGTGGTCAAAATGGCCTGTATACTATAGAGAAAGTGAACACACGAAGAAGCAGTTTTTTTCTCTTTTTAACCATCAGCGCATGTTTGTCTATTAATCTCCTTTTAATATGAGGTAATATATATAAATATACAACTACCATAAAAAGGAGATCAATAGACAAACATGCGCTGACTATGTATTACGCTTGTAAAAAGATGGGCGTACTCATTATCCTATGGTGATTCCAGAATATGCGATGACCCCTCCCTATAAAAACGACTTCGAACTTCGTTAATACGAACTTTTAATTAACGTAATTACACAAAGTTGCAGTTAAGACATTGACCATTTCTACCATTGAAAGAGAAATGCCCATTTTAGAAATTAATTATGTCGCAATTTCTAAGTTTCCTTAAGTGCAGTCATCCTTTCAATAAATATGAAAAGAAATCCTATGTAGGAAAAACTAGTACTATTTACCGCTTTTGAGCAAGTAACAATGCTGATTCAATATAATAAACCCCAATTTATTGAAACTGTTATGCTTTAAACATGTTCAATGTGCCTGAAAACGTTTAAGAAATTCTGTGCATTGATAAAAAGAAATCGATGAAAAACCGAAATCCGGGACAATCGGGATTTGAGAAGACTAGATTTACCGCTAACCTCGGCCAAGTCACGTGCTCTTTGTTTCTCATGTGACTACAATATCCACAAATATGGCGGTGCTAGTCTGCTTTCTGTTTGTTCATTTTCTTGTAGGATTAGTTTACAGCAATGGTGAATACCAAAGGGAAAAAACTGTGTCGGTTCTAGCAACTACAGGAATGCCATGGCCCCTACCTCAGCAATATTCATCTACACCAGATGTTTACACAATAAACCGGAATGCATTTAAATTTAAAGCGACTGGTCAAAGCTGTGATATCTTAGAATCGGCCTTCTTTCGCTATCAGACAATTATCTTCGGATTAAGAGAAGAAACACTGAGATTCCATCCGAAGAATTCTCTTCAGGCTGGTTCTCTTACAGCGTTGAATGTCAACGTCAAAAACAAATGTGACCGGTATCCATCCCTTGGAATGGATGAATCTTGTAAGTAAAACGCCCCTCCCCCTTTCTTTTGTTCATTGTTATCAACAATAGCAGTAACAGAAAACAAAGTTCTCAAGTGTTTTCAAATTTGTTACACCAGAGACACTTGAATATATCTTTACAAAACAACTAAAATATTCAAAAATTGAAACACGTTTGAAAAAAAATTCACATACAATGTAGATCATGTAGATCCAAGTATCCGGATCTTATTGAGCTGAGAAAAAAAATTACAAGTCTAGCAGGTCTGGTGTTCATATAGCCTGTACTTCGCGTTGTGTTTATTTTTTGTTTTGAGACGACTTTCTGAATATAAGACCTCTACATTAGATTATACCTTGGAAATATTTGTAAATTGTAATGAACTATAAAAGAAAATAAGATTAACAAGACTTTACAATTTATTACCAATCTTACAGTACGTTATAATAGTGCACAATATGAAGACCTTAATTCCCAAACCCAAATATGGCCTAACTTAACCCAAATATAGTCTAACCTAAGTAGTAATATAATTTAATTAAGACAGACGAACAAGGGACGATTCCAGTATATGAAGAGTTTAGCTAGCGAAACCAGCTGTCTCCCTCCCCGATCTAATAGTTGCATAGCTTTATATATGAAAAAGGAACAAAAGAAACTGTCAAAAACCTTATTGGCCGAAAGATAAAAGTGGGCGTTTCCAAATAAAACGTGGACAATTTACATCGGGATCGAAATGTAATAATTATGAAAACGTAAATAAACCTAATCTGTCACACAAGTAAGCCTTTCTGATCAAATCTTTTTTATTTTCCATTGTCAGTTGTTGTTGTCGTCTGTCATCGTTCATGTTGTTATCGTCTGTCTTTGTCAGTGCTGTTGATGTTTAACCTTTCACATTTTTGTCTTCTTCTCCAAGGGTCCGTTTTACAAAAGAATGTATGACTTAAGACCAAATTAAATTCTTCTTAAAACTATCTTTTTGATATTTTATTGAAAATGATTTCAATCTTATTTTAAAGGAATGTGGAAAGATATTTTTACACCAGCAATTTTAAACAGAAGTATGATTATTAGTTTCGAATTTACAATCATCTAAGATTTTGGACTTACATGTAGTCATAAGTTCTTTTGTAAAATGGACCCCAGAACCACTAGGCCAAATTCAGTTAAATTTGGCTCTTAATTGAGTATCCTTCGTAAATAAAATGGATTTAATTTAATTAAGTTTATACAAATGAAGGCCCACAGTTTCTTTCAGGGGAGGGGAGGGGGAGGGGCAAGTAAAAAAATTGTGAAGATTTTGTGGGGTAATTTAAAAATTCTATATTCTTTTCATGAGCCAATTGGTGAAAAACTTAAAGACCCAATTTTTTTACCGTACGGTTACCTGACGAGGGGGAGTGGCCCAAGTAACAGTGGTGTTATTTACCTGGAGACTCCCAATACCCAAGATGTTTAAAATCTGTATCCACGTAGCATTACACAGGAAGTCTGTGTCTGGTGATCAGGGTCAACATTCCATGTTTCGTGTCTAAATTTGAGTGAAATACTTGAAATAATTGAAATATTTCAATATAAAATTTATTTATAAATACTTTCAGCGATATCTAATGAAGAAAAAAGTTATGAAGAAATATTGTTTTTAAATTTTAAAAAAATGTAAAATTAAAGAAAAGAACACAGAGGAAAACTACAAAGTAAACATATCTTTTTTAAATAAACTTGTGTAAATATCAAAATTTAAAAAAAATAATAAAATATTCCATTCATAGGCCTATCCGTCGTGTGAACATATACAATGTACCGCGATAGGAATATTGCCTACATTCTGACCAACAATAGTGTCGAAAATATTCACCATTTCCAAGTGTTCGTGTGTTTAAAAATTTTTATTATTTGATAGATTTCTAAATATGCTTTTAAGAATTGATCTTTGGCTTTATATATTCACATTTTAATTTCGAATATTGTGTATCGACAGACGTTAGGAAATTCGAACTAAAAGTTACAATCTCGAATTGACATTTTATTTAAAACAGAACATGATTGTATTCATATATACATAGATAAAACATGGGATAAAGGAATTTTTTTGTCCACGCCGTTTGTGCTAAATATTTTTTCTTATTTATCATATTCCAATTTAAATCGGCAAATAGCGTTTCTGTGCACGAATCGGTTCAAATTCTACAGCAGATATCTTGGACGACATATCGCCTAAAATACAATATAGCCGTTGAGATTGAAAGCAAATATTTTACAAAGTCATGTTTTAATTATTAGCTCTTCTGAGCCAAAGGCTCAAAGAGCTTATGCTATGGCCATTTGTGCGGTGTGCGTCGTGCGGTGTGCGTTAACTTTTTAGAATATGGGCCATAACTCAAGAACCCCTTGGCCAATCATTGTCAAATTTGTCACAGGGTATCCTTGGCCCAAGGGCTACCTTTTGTACTAAAACTAGGGTTGTGACCCTAAAACAAGGGGAGATAATCAGGAAAATAAAACCAAAAGTACTGGTTGCTAAAAAATCTTCTTCTCCAGAACCACCGGGCAGATTTTCACCAAACTTACATACAAGGGTCAGGATATGTTGAAGATTAAAAATTGTTCAAGGCATGACCCTGGGGCAAAGGGCGTGGTCTCAAGGTCACTTCAAAGTTAACCAAAATTTACACTTCATAAAAACGGTAATATTTTGCTTACTATAAAGACTAGGATCATCAAATCTTGTAAGTTGATGCATCTTAGGACTTCACATCATGTTAACACAAAAGTAGGTCACGGTGACCTACTTTTTAAATTTTACGGGCTTTTGTTTTCAAATTGATTTGGAGGCATATTTTGGTTACTTTAAGGCCTATGATCATCAAACTTTGTCAGTTGATGCATCTTGGGTCCTTGAACAAGGTCAACTTAAAAGTAGGTCACCGTGACCTACTTTTTGAATTTTATGGCTCATCTTTTGTAAAACATTTATTCCCATTATTTCAGATACTGAGAGGTTTAGAATCACCTAATCTTGTAAGTTGATGCATCTTGAGGCCTTAAAACATATTTATGAAAAAAGGTCACTGTGACCTACTTTTTGTATTTTGCAGTCATTTGTTTTTCAATTTGTTTAAAAGGCATATTTTGAATACTTTCAGACCCATAATCATCTAACTTTGTCAGTTGATGCATCTTGGGTCTTCGAAAAATGTCAACCAAAAAGTAGGTCACGGTGACCTACTTTTGACATTTTATGGCTTTATTTATGTATCTTAGGTACTTTTTGGCTTAGAATCATCAAACTTTGTCAGTTGATACAACTTGGGTTACACGCAGAATGTCAACCAAAAAGTAGGTCACTGTGACCTAATTACGACATTTTATGGGTATATTTTAGTATGTTAGGTATTTATTGGCTAAGAATCATCAAACTTTGTCAGTTGATGCAACTTGGGTTTTCGGAGAATGTCGAGCAAAAAGTAGGTCACTGTGACCTAGATTAGACATTTTATGGCTATATTTCAATATCTTAGGTACTTTTTGGCTTAAAATCATCAAATTTTGTCAGTTGATGCAACTTTGATTATCGGAACATGTCGAACAAAAATTAGGTCACTGTGACCTAGTTTTGAATTTTTATGGCTATATTTAAGTATTGTAGGTACTTTTTGGCTTAGAAACATCAAACATTGTCAGTTTGAGGCATGTTGGGTTTTCAGAGAATGTTGACCAAAAAGTAGGTCGAAATGACCTACTTTGGATTATCTCAGGTATGTATTGGCTTAGAATCATCAAACTCTGATAGTTGATGCAACTTTTTTTAACATGTCGACCAAAAAGTAGGTCACTGTGACCTAGTTTTGACATTTTTTGGCTATATTTAAATATCTTAGGTACTTATTGGCTTAGAATCATCAAACTCTGATAGTTGATGCAACTTGGGTGTTCAGAGCATGTCAACCATAAGAAGGTCACAGTGACCTACTTTTGAATATATGAGGTACTTATTGGCTTAGAACCATCAGTCAATTAAAAAGGAGGTCACCGTGACCTATTATGGTATTTTATAGCTATACTGATTTCAGAAATATCTTCAGTCCTAACTGGCCAAGAATCATCAAACATTGTCAGTTCATGCATTTTAGGATACTTAGAGTTAGAGGCTTCAAATAGAAGTGATAGACTGTACAATTTATCAGAAGAGCGATTCAAGGCCCTTGGGCCTCTTGTCTACTCCAAATTGTTTTTGAAATAACATTTTACCAAGATCCTTTTTTTAACCCCCGTGTATACAAGGCGGCTACATGAAAGTGTTTGACGCTTGACCAGGCAATCGTTTTCAAAAGACACAAACTCAGACTATCAGGTAGCACGGGTAGCTGGCCTGTCAATCAAATCAGAAGCTATTGTTTTTTTAATGATTGACAGGCGGTAAATTATTGATCTTGAATCAGGTAGATTTTGGGGGCGTTAGCATAAAATTGGGTGTTTAAATGAAGTTTTAATGCTTGAAACTTTCTAGGGGGTGAACATTTAAGTTTGATGTTCAAATCATGACAACCAGGGTAGAGTGGGGACACTGAGCAATTAAATTTTTACATAGGAAAAAACTTGTGCTTTAATATTATCAACTATTCTGTCTTTTAGATAACTTGACAATTAGTGCAGCAGGAGCCACACTTAATTCAAACAGTGTTTGGGGTGCCTTAAGGGGGATTGAGACTTTCAGTCAGTTAGTCCTTCAACAAGATACAAATATGGTAAGTAATTCTGAAATTTCAACAATTTTATTTGGGATATGCATAAAAGTAAATTTCCATCATATGTACATCTATGTATATATATTAACTTTCTGTTTATTTTCATGTTTATATATTTTTTTCAGTAGTGCCTGTGAAATTTAGACATACAATTACATTATATTTTTGTAGTTCTTTGTGAATGGTACAACAGTATCTGATTACCCACGATTTCAACACAGGGGTCTCTTGTTGGATACCTCCAGACATTTCCTAGATGTGACTATCATCAAACAGAATCTGGTAATTTTATTCAATGATGAATATTTTTATTTAATTAGCGGTATTAAAATATTGATACTGCATATTTTAAAGACTATATATAGGGTCTAAATGGTTTGCCTTTCTTTCAGCTTGCCATGTCACAAAGTAAGTTCAATGTATTTCATTGGCACATCGTGGATGACCAGTCTTTCCCATACACAAGTAAAGACTTCCCTGATATGGCCTCAAAGGTAAAAATATTCTGGTTATTTCATGTTTTTTTTATTTGTGTATTAAAAAATGCACAGTTAAGTTAGGTCATTTTATTTTTCATTTCATCAGAGATTGACTGTAAATTTGTTATAATTGTGCTGAGAAGTAGCATAAGTACTAAAAATTATTTTACTAGCAAAAAACTTGATATTTATAAATGTTTTTAATTAATTTATCATATTGATCTGCATTCTGTTATGTATGTGAGTTAGATATTAACTGACAGTTTCAATTATCAAACAGATGGTCTCTAGTACCATTTGAATGGGCTCATTTGTCATATGAAATGATTCAACACGTGCAACTAGGTGTGGATGTGAAAAAAAGATTTCTATTTTGTATGGAGTTACTGTACACAGTTTGACAGGAATATCTGTGTCAGCTGTACATAATGTACAGTTGAACTTCAGTATCATGAACACAGCTATCTAAAAATCTAATTTAGATGACTATGACAAAGTAATTGGAAAGTTCTAATCACACATTTTTGAAAAGTATTTTACCCTCAATATTTTGAACCTAAGCTTGCATATCTCGAAGTTTTTTCTTGGTTTCATTGAGTTCTTGGAGATTCTCTGTAAAAAAAAAAAATCGTGCAGGTGACATATTTACTAAGAGAATGTATCGTTCAATTTGTATACTACATTTTTTAACTGAATTGATACTTATTTTTTTCATAAGGATCTTCTACACATACTTTACCCTTTTTTCTAATTCAAAGTATCTTGTGATTTGTTAATTGATATGCTACTAGGTCTGTCTATTAATATAGACTATAATATTAAATTATGCCAAATGAACTTACACTTTATTTTTTACACCTCTATTTTTTTATGAATTCGTTGCACAGAGAAATTGCAGAACAGAGGTTAAATTAGCCTACATGTATATATTTATATATGCATTTGAAAATATGCAAATACATGTACTTATGTGGAGAGTAATAAATTAAAAAAAGAAATAAATGTATGAACACAAATTCAAGGAGGAAGGATTATGTACAGGAAATATTAGCGCATAATCAAGAGTCGATCACCATCATCAGACAAGAAAGTTTTGTACATATATTACGTCTGTAATTTTTGTCAATATTAATCTTAAAGAAGCTTGTAATTTTGAACTCTGTAGGGAAAAAAATCAGAAATATACCAGGAAATGAGATAAAAAGTTCAAATACATAAAGAAAAAAAACATGGTTGAGCCTTCCATATCAAAGTACTGGTATCTGAGACACTTAAGTTTGGGATACACGTTTAACTGTAAATGAGAAGTTCACCTTAAATTTCTGATTTATCCCATTTTATGTATTTCAGGGTGCCTATGATTCTAGACATATCTACACTCAGGATCAGATTGCAGAAATCATTGAATTCGCCCGAATTCTGGGTATCAGAGTCATTCCAGAGTTTGATTCACCAGGTAGGGCTTTGGAAATACATTGTATTTAAGTCAAGTTTTACTATCTTCAACAATTTCTTTTTGTAAGAATTATTTAAGTGTGAGTGTGTGTTTCAGTTTTTATGGTTTTTCCTGATCAAAAAATGCTGAAGTCAACAAACTGTTTGTCATTTTTATCTATTCCACAGGACTATGGAATCATTTTAGTTTGTGGGGTGATATGTGTGGGCTGCAAAAATTTTACTTGTTGATAGGATTGGCAGGAACACAATCTTTTTTGGTATAATTCAGAAGATTCAACGAACTTATACTTTATCAAAGTTATCATTCTTAGAGATGTACACTCTAAGTGCATATAAGAATGATCGACCATGAAATCTAGAAATACCCCCACCCCACCCCCACAAAAATTATGATTCCACAACAATTGCAGACAAAAAGTGAAAATCATTTGCAATCAGTAATCCAAAATACATGTATATATGTGCACTTCAATTAATTTATAATAGATTTGAGAACGAAGGTAAATTCATTCTTTGTTATATTAATTGAGACCCATTTCAATTTCTTCTCTATTTTCTGTTTATTTAGGTCACTCCCAGTCCTGGGGTAAGTCCATCACAGACCTCCTGACCAAGTGTTACAGTGGAGGTAAGCCCAACGGACAGTATGGACCCATAGATCCCTCCCTGGAGACCTCCTACGGCTTCCTGTCCAAGTTCTTCGGAGAGATCAGTAGGGTGTTCCCAGATCAGTACATTCACCTGGGTGGTGATGAGGTCAACTTTGATTGCTGGTTTGTACATCTCTAGTACATTTGTATTTGCCATCCCTGTCCAGAATTTGTGGAATTAAAATGATTGATTGTTCCAAATACTTCTAAATTAATTCAAGAAATGAATATGATAAAATACGTCTGTCAGAATGGCGTAAAGGAATTGAATTTTCTTCTTTCAGGAAAAGCAATCCAAATGTGACAGCATTTATGAAACAGAAAGGTTTTGGAACTGATTATGCAAAGCTAGAAGAATATTATGTTCAAAGGTGAATGTCAGTAACAGGTTATTTTTAGAGTAAAAATGATATCTTCTAAAAGATTATTAATTTCAAAAAGATTTGTTCTACACAGTTGTTTTGATTGAGAGCACAGCTGCACTTGTGCCCACTTGTTACACACATGTACTCTTATTGTAATAGACTGTACTTATACCTAAAATTTGTGTATCTGTTAAAAAGAATAACCTTTAATATTAAGTTTATAGTTTTATTGCAGATGGGACTAAAATCTCTTTGTTTTTTGTAGGTTGTTATATTAAATACCAGGGTATGTAAAAATAACCTCTCTTGGTTGTTTGTAGATTGTTGGATATTGTGGGTGGGCTGAAGAAAGGTTACATGATCTGGCAAGAAGTAGTGGATAATGGAGCCAAGGTAAGAATCCTAACAAAGGAACATTTTAACTTTAATCATTTGATGTAACTGCCATGATTTCTGACAAGTATCCCTCTAAAGTTTACTTGCTTTGTCTGTCAGATCATTGTTCATATTTCCGAAATCGTGCATGACATTTATCATCAAATATTTCAATTTTGAATGGAATACAAAGTAATTGGAATTATTTAAATTTCTTAGAGAAAAGTTTTCAGTATTTTAGAGAAAATTTGAGTGTCCAAATTTATTATGAAGAAAATGTTATGAATTAAGAATAGTACTGAATAATGAATTATCATAAGGGAATAATGTGAATATGCTACAGGTTGTTTTCTGAAATATTCAATCATATTCCTGTGTGTTAACAGATTCCAATGGAAGCAATAGTAGAGATTTATAGAAATTCAGCTTACATGCTTGATGTGTACCTTACAACACTTAAAGGGTATAGGACAGTTCTTCAAGCATGCTGGTATTTAGACTTAATCAAATATGGTGTTCAGTGGCAGGCCTTTTATGCCTGTGACCCAGGAAACTTCAATGGTATGGATTTCATTACTGGAGCATTAAATGTATACACTTCTCCTCTAACTTAGATGCATTGCATTTTCCTTTCTAATGTTTTTTTTTTTAATTTTATTTGATATTGATGTGAAGTATACTAGCCATTCTAATATTTTCATTCTAATACAAAAGTTCCTTGTATAATTCTGTTATAACACATATTTTAATCATTTCCTGCCAATTTAGCTCGATTAGACTTTTTTGAATAAAAAAAGACTTAAGTGACAGACACAAAAGGACCAAATTCTAAATGAAAAATAGATGCACCTCTAAAACAACACAAACAGTAGAACACACCAAACTCACACCTGCACTTCTAAAGCACAATCACGGGACTAGGTTCAAGATGGATTACCGGTATTGTTTTCTACTCACTTTCTTACTTAAGGTTTGAGTTTTCCTGGGCATGCAGTTTTCCATGTTTGAATTCTGATAGCCTTGACAATTAAACTGATAAATGCTGTGTACATTCTTTTTGGCATAATTTACATCTTTGCATAATGGTAATCCCTTTCTTGAAGTTTGCAAATTCAAAACTCGTATGTGTATGCAAATACCAACATGTTTGTTCATTCATCATGTTTCAAATAAGGAAGGTTTTCAACCTATAGATGACTAAGCCAAAAATGATTTGAATGTATAGTTGTATTTCACAATTTGTTTTGTGCAAAAGGGAGGTGAGTGGGTGTCAAAGTGCCAACAAATTTTGTAATGTCCAAAAGTAACATTAATCCAGTTTCTTTCAGAATCTGTACATAAAAACAAAGTAAGTCTTAGGTGTAGCTTAAATAGCTTTTCAATAAGTTGTCTTTAAGATCAAATGTAGTGGTGGACAAAGCTTGTAAACTTGTAGAGGGTTGTCATACTTGGTTTCTCTCCTTTCTGACTTGGTTATATTTCCTCTTCTGTGAACAGATATCAAAGGACACAATTGTAGAGATATATAAAAATGAGAACTACATGCTCCATGTGTTTGAGGCGACTCTTAGAGGTTATAGGACTCTGCTACAGGCCTGTTGGTATTTAGACATTATCAAGTATGGCGTCCAGTGGCAGGCCTTCTATGCCTGCGATCCCCATAATTTCATTGGTATGATTTTCAGAAGCTTTATATGTTTGTTTCTGTTTTGGTTGTTTTCTTCTCTGATACTCTTCAACACTTTGTTATGCATTGTAGCTTTGGTATCTAGTAGCATTTTGCCTTCAATTATTGAATTGCAAGGTAAAATTAACGTAATACTTACTTTCCATTGTTAAGGCTAACAAGGAATGTTTATTGTTTAGGGGACGACCATTTGATCCTGAGGGGGGGGCCTGGCAAATTTTTTTGAGACGGATTATTTATTTTCATGCCTGTCGAGGACAGATTATTTATTTTCAAGATTATCAAGGACAGATTATTTATTTTCTTCTATGTCTTACCGTACCTTGATCAATTGATTCTAAAAGACTAATCATTTATATACAGGATTTGGGGAGGGGACAGGTATAACTTTGTTTATGCAAGAGGTCTGGGGCCGCTGTAAGGGCTCCAGTGGGTCCTGGGCGAAGCCCTGGTGGAGGCCAAGGGAGTACACCCCACCCCCACCCTGCCCACCCCCGACGCTCTTGGGGTTTCATGTATTTTAAGAGTAAAACCACGCACTATTATAGTGGTATTGGTTATTATGAACCAAAGTATCACATAATTAATACTGGTCATACCGTACTTTGAATGAAGTATTCAGTTCAGGAAGCAAAGCCACCTGAAGCTCTTGGGTTTTTCAATATGTATAAGAGTAAAACTTTTGTAGGAATTGGTTAGATGTGTACCAAAGTATGACATTATTAAGTCATATCATACTTTGAATGAAAAGGGCCCAGGGGGTGAAGCCCCCTGAAGCTCTTGGGTTTTTGTGTATTTTAAGAGTAAAACTAGGCACAAAAATATTGGTATTGTCCCAAAGTATGGCATTATTATTATTATTCGTATCATACTTTGAAATTTTAAGGGATGGCCTGGGGTTACATGTACGTCCCCCATAAATCCGCCAGTGTATATTTTGTATTAATTTATCTGGAAAGTATAATTATTCGACAAGAAAATTTATCTTTAATGGTGTATAAGAATTGGTTTGTATTTAAAGTAACTGTTATTTATCACACCTACTAAGTGCACATTGTCATGTTGATAATCTGACTTAAGTATCCAGTCTGGTAATCTGATTTTAAATACTATATTTGGTTCTAAAATGGCGAGCGAAGCGAGCCAAAAAAATTTTTGAATTGAAGACTTTTGAGATTAAATTACACGTAAATAAAAAAGGTATTTTTACAATATTTAATTATCAGAAGTCAAGGTCAGATTATTTATTTTCTCTGTAGTGGAGGACAGATTATTTATTTTCAACATTTTCAGGGACAGATTACTGTAGATCACTTAATTTTCGCGACACCTTATTTTCGCGAGATAGTCATTGACTCCTGATTAGCGAGACAAAATTTTCGCGAATTGTGGTTATTGCTCTATATAATCTTAAGGAATACTATTATACGCGAGAATTAAATTTTCGCGAGCACACTGTCTCGCGTAATTACGCGAAAATAAAGTTCTCGCGAATAAAAAGTGATTTACAGTATTTATTTCCAAAATCTGCCAGGCCCCCCCTCAGAATCAAATGGTCGTCCCCTTATTTCAAGTCTTATTCACATCAACATATGCAGTTATTCTACTTTCCAGGTTTATGCATCTGTCATTAAAAAAACTCATGTGATATCTGACATTCCCGTTTTTAACAAAATGTTACATAAACATGCTAGATTTTTTTTTGTAAAAAAAAAAGATGCATGAGGCATGCCATTATTGAAAAATATATTTAAATGAGCATGAGCAAGAATGAAATATATCATACCATTGAAGTTCATCCAGTAATCTTAGAGAATATTTCCTTTATCATTAAACCAAATTTACTTTAAAACTGTCCTCCGAAATTCATATTAGGAAATTCATTACAATGCAAATATTGATTTTGCAAAAAACAGGCAATTATTCACAATACATGTAGAGTATTTTTGCAGGTGTTCATCATCAATTGAAAAAAAAAAACAACAATATTAAACTAGTTAATACTTTTGTGTATCCCTTGCATATTTATTTTGAATGAGTGTTGAATTTCTGAAGGTTAAGCCAGATACAGTTGTGGAGGTTTGGAAGGATGGCTATCTACAAGAACTAAAGAAAGTTACTTCCCTTGGTTATAAAGCTCTTCTGTCCTCATGTTGGTATCTCAATGACATATCCTACGGAATAGACTGGCCCAAATATTACAATTGTGACCCAGATGATTTTTTTGGTACTACAGTGCAAGTACTCAAATTTCCAAATGCATTATATGGTTTTTGTATTTGACTTACTAATCTCTTAGAACTACTAACCATCCTACCATTGAAGTTATAATTGATAAAAAATTCATTCAAATCTGTAAAAAAAAATAGTATTGAAACTTTTTTTTTGGCTTAGGATGCCACAAACAACTATGCATCTGAATACCAGCAAGCTTGAAAAAGACCCTCTCCTCTTTTAAGTTTACAAATAATTTCATAGCAGCCTAAATTTTTAATTGTAATATGTAAATTTCACAAAAAGGTTCAACCAGACACAGTTGTAGAGGTTTGGAAGGGAGGCTACCAGGCAGAAATGAGCAAAGTTACGGCCCTTGGTTACAAAACTCTCCTATCCTCTTGTTGGTATCTTAACTACATCTCCTACGGATCAGACTGGCAAAAATATTACACATGTGAACCATATAACTTCAATGGTATGATATAAATAATGCCTTGTTGCCTTTGTAATTCAGTTAATGTCTAGTATGATCGTAAATTTTAGCGTTTCCCACCAGTTAGCTTGACGATATAACAAACAATGTATAATTACTCAGATTTCAAACTTTCTTATGTTCCTAGAAAAATTTCTTAAAATATATCTGATTAATCAAAATGGATTTGAATTTTTGTTGATCTCATCCATTTTTTTAAAAGGGGAGGGAGGGGGATCTCAACAAATCAAAAAAAACAAACAAAAATTTGGCAAATGTGTTTATATTCAGTTACTGTAAATCACTTTTTATTCGCGAGAACTTTATTTTCGCGTAATTACGCGAGACTATGCGTTCGTGAAAATTTAATTCTCGCTTATAAAAGTATTCCTTGCGATTATAAAGAGAAATAACAACTATTCGTGAAAATTATGTCTCGCTTACAAAGAGTCAATGACAATCACGCGAAAATAGGTGTCGCGAAAATTTAGTGATCTACAGTAAATTGTACTGAACTTGAGAATTTAAAATAGAAGTAAGTACTCTATTATTCAGCATTGTTGAAAAAGTGCTAGTACACAACACTTATAAAAACATTGTTCCTTATTTAGTTTAATCTGTACGGTTTCCCCTAAGATTTAAGCAAATTCAAGTTTGATAATATACAGTAAAAATAAAATATGTACGATATGTTGTTCAGCTATTATGAAATTATGCATGTTAGTCAAATCAGTATTGAATTTCAAGACTATTAGTGTAAATGCTAGTCTGCAGCATGTTTTCTCCTCTGCATTGCAATTCTGTTAAAGTTATTTTTTTTCTTGGTTTGCTGTCTTTTTTTCATTGTTTTTCTTTAAATGAAATTCATTATAATCCATTAAAATCATTACAATCTATTAAAAGTAGTACGAAATTCATAAAGTTAACTTAAAAATTGCACAATCAGTAACTCAAGTGCATTTTTGAATATACACCTAAATACAAATGTATACAACTTTTGGTGCATCTGTGACTGATATATCGACCCCAATTTATAGGAACCGCTGAGCAGAAGAAGCTTGTGATTGGTGGAGAGGTGTGTATGTGGGGGGAATACGTAGACAACACCAACGTACTCTCACGGACGTGGTGAGTGGTAGATATAGGAAAAAAAATCATCAGTAAGGGAAAAAAAATTAATGATACCACAACTATATATACATTATTAAAGGGAAGTACATGTATTGGGAAAGTATATATTAATTGGTACACTTGATGTAAACAAAGTAAAAATTTTAAATATTTAAGAGTACATGGAAGAAATTTCAAAAATTTGAAAAATTCTTAAATTTACATTACTTAAATCGAACAGAATTGGAAAATCACTATATTTTAGAAATGTAATTTGTACAGTAAAACTTGTATAGTACGAAGATGGAAATTGCAAATTCATGGATATAGTGAAGTTATCTTGGATCCCCAGCAATATAGAATTAAGGCCATACCAATTTCTAATATAGTTCGTCGGATTCGCCGCTTCAATTTTTAACAAATCAAAATTATAATATTAAAAAAATAAATTTCGCGCGCGCGTCCAAAAATATCCGAATACACTTTTTTTCTCGACTTTTTTACACAAAACGCATAAAAGACAGAAGCGCGGGAATTAGTGTGTGTTTGACTGTTTGTACTTTGTAGCATCTGTAAAGTTTTGCAAGATGCTTGTGTAATTGTTTGTATGTACCATGGGTGAGCAATTAGCATATCCAAACAACCGGGGCTACCATTTCTGGGGATCGGGCTAGTTGTTTTCTACAAGGAGGTAGCCCGTCGGGCTAGTTAAAAACATAACTATTCAAGCAATACAACAATGACAAGAACAATCGGTATTTTCACTTGTATTTGTCATAAAATTCCCAACCAGTTAAAATTTTCCAGACAACATGCTCATATTGTCAATGAATCTCCATAATTTTATCTGTTTTGTACTTCTATCTGACTTAAATACTTCCAAAAACGATCGTTTTTTCCTAATCCGAATTTCCTCTATTCCTCCATTTATGGTAGGGTGAGTTCACCATGCATCGGACACATACCTTGCTTCGGACAACTTTAGGCAATAAACTCTCTTTCAACTTATGAGTTCTGTGTATTTATTTGTTTCTGTCAGAAAGACCAAGATTTAAATTTTTTAATGATACCGATTGTGTTTATCATGTTTTGATAAAAATACCCCGCAAATGGCCTTGAAGTTACGTCATATTTTACATCATCAAAGGGGAATAACCCGAAATTTATGATTTTGCAGTTTTTAGAGTTATCGTTCTTTTAAATTCGATTTCCACGGAACGAGTCGGACTTCGGTGAATTTTGTCAGGGATTGGTAATTTTACACAAATTATTAATAAATTTCACTTCAATGTTTGTTTAATTCTTATTAGAGCTGGTTTTTAGTAGTATGCTATTTTCACCGTACATCGGACACAAATTAACCATGCATCGGACACTTTTCGATGCAAAGGTAAGTACTACCATTTTCATACAGAACCCAGCTGACAGCTTTTTTTTGCGAAAAAAGAAAATAAAAACTCTATATTTTCAGTCAAAATACAAGTTATCGATATATGACGTCTGGAATTTTACTCTGTTTATTTCTACAAACCAGAGTATGATAAACCATGAGGAAAAGGCGCGAATTACAGCATTTTAAAGCATTTCTTAGGCAGACTGAGGTCTCTAGAATCGTTCTACATTTGTGCAATAATATCGTCGATTAAATTACAGTTGAAGGTTATTTCTTAGATAAAAGATGAAAATATATCCATATCAAGGATTTTAAAGCATTGTAATAAAGGTATGATATTTTTCCGGTCTCCATACCGTCTGTCCGATGCAGGGTGAACAATGTCCGATCCATGGTGAATTTTCTGTTTTTTCTAAAAACTCGATTTTTGGGGATAATTTCTCAATAAACGGCATATAATTGTGTCCTAAATTGTTATTTTAATCACAAACTAAATGTTCAACTCCATTTTGATAATTTTCCGTCGGTAGCGATATCGCTAGAACTTGTTGAAGTACAAGGGTATCCGATGCATGGTGAATTCACCCTAAATACATGCAGATATCTCATTAAATTATTTACGATTATCCATTGAACTGTAAGATAAGTGTTTTGTGACTCACATAAGATATATTTCAAGTGTATTTAATGATTTAAGATGAAAACAAAATGAATTTGGGTTTTTTTTCCTAAATGAGCTAGTGCAATGATCAAGAAAAAGGGAAGATAATTCATTTAATAATTCATTTGATTTTTTTTTCATAATAATTTATGCATGATTAATATTGATTGTGAGAACTTTTAACTTTAATTTTAAAAGAATGACCCCAGTACCCTGACTTTTTCAGCAATTAATTTCTTCTCCAGATTAGTACGGTATTTATTTTAATTTTTGCCCCCCTGTTTGGGTTAGTAACTTTTTACTAGGGGCTATTAACTTAAAAGCTGCCACTAGCCTGTGGGAAAGTACTTGATTTTTTCCTCAATTGCACACCCCTGTGTACTATAGAAGAACTTAGAAATTTTTGCCACTAATATTAATTATATTCGCTCGCCTCATAATTTTGAAAACTGAAATAAAAAAATTAATATTAAAAAAATATTTTCGCTCGCTCGCCTCTCTTTTTATTTTTAAAAATCAGAAGAACTATGTTACAAATTGGTGTGGCCTAAGGAATTCCTTATACAGATATAAAGAAATACGGATATATTGAAGTAATTTCATAGGTCCCAGTGACTTTGTTAAAACCAAGTTTACTGTATTGAAGTATTGCCACTTTTAACTTGATATTTGTTTTGCTCCATAAATGATACTGTGTATCACAACATTGTAAATTTATCTCCCAGGCCTCGTGCCTCAGTGGTTGCAGAGCGACTATGGAGTGCTCAAGGTGTAAAAGATGCTAACGCTGCTGCCCCAAGACTGGAGGAACATCGCTGTAGGATGATCAAGTAAGGTCAAATTTTATGACTCAAAGTGAATCTGTCAGTTACATTTCAGCTACTATATATAGGGCTGGGCAATAATATCGATATTTCAATATATTGCAATACAATGACAAAAAATATCGTATCGCAATACGATTTTGTTTTATCGATATATTGGCAATATGCTTAGATTAAGGAATTTTGTCATTAAATATTAAAATAAACTAATGAAAGTTTGTAATTAAGCCAAACAGTATGACAGAAGTTGTTTTGTGGGAACATTTCAGAACATAACTTTAATGAAATCAACAATTTTTTTGTCAGTGTTGGTTACTTCTCATAGATATGTACATTCTGTATGTAAATTAAAGTAAATATAGTAAGAAAATGCCATTTAAATTACATTGAAAATATTGCAATACATATCGCAATACAGTTACAAATATCGCAATATATCGCAATACGAAATCTCCGGCCAACACCCAGCCCTAACTATATATTTAGGGGGTGCCAGTGATACACTGTCAACTAATTATTAGTATATGTCATTGTCATTGAAAAAACAAACTCTTTTGATCATTATATATTTAGGTAGCTTGGTATTTTTTGATTTCATGTGTACCCTTTGTCAAATACTCAAGGAATCTTGGAATATAGGTGATTAAAATTTTTTTGACTAATAGATGTAAAACTTTGCCCCTTTAAACCTATTAAAAAGTCCATGAAAATTAGCTCACACTAAAATTTTACCATAAGGAGGGGAATATGCACTTATTCTAAGCTCTTTCTTTGAAAAGCAGAACTTGCTTGTTGATTATTAGTGCAGTCATGTTTTAAAGATATTAAATATTCAGAAAATAGTAAGCATATACTGGATGTTAAACAGAAATACATGTAAATTGAAAAAATTGGATACAAAAGGAAAAAAAATGAATTTTGAAAATTTTTGTGTTCAAGTTATCTTCATTCTAAATGATAAAACTTTTTATTTTCAGGAGAGGTTTTCCAGCAGAAACAGTGAATGGACCAGGCTTTTGTCCCCAGGAATATTCAATACCAGTCTAGATAATTCTAGGACCCTATTCTCAAGAAGAAGAACACATACCAAAAAAACTTAAAAAAGCATTTCCATATTGTGCACTTAATGGAGAGTTTGTATATTTTTCTATTAGTGCTATATATATTATAGCATATTTATCTATAGGATCTCCCATGATTTGTAGTTGGATATGATTTTTATCCAATGAGTTGTGTGTTTTTTATCCCCTCGCCAAGGCTCGTGGATAAAAACACACAACTCATTGGATAAGAATCATATCCAACTACAAATCATGGGGGATTCTTTTTATCCCATGTTTAATACTTCACAACCAATGTTTTACACTGTTTCTATATTGGACTTCACTTTATTTTATTTTATCACTCTAGCACAAAAACCATTGTGACGTCACAACTACACTTAATTGTGGGATATGAAAAAACATACCCATGCAATGAATCATATCCACTAGATAAAGGGGTAAACATGGGATAAAAATAGAATTATATTTATATTTAAAGTCTTTTTATATGTAGATAAATTAGTGTTCAGTAAACAATACCTGTCATCTTTATGACTGTGGGTTTATAGTTTAGATTATGGTTGTTTGCACATGCATTCAAACATCGGTTATTATGAACATACTTATAATGAAATGATGCTTACAGGGAAGTATTTAATTTCATTTCACATGGCTTGCAAATATAGTGTAAAATTAACGAGTATGTATAACTAATTATGTTTATAACAAAGCAAAATGGTCCATCTCTGGCACTTCATTATAAACGATTCTTAATGTATATATACTTGTTATAGAATTATTTTTACATTAGGTCATGTTAACACTATAGCTTCAAGCATCTTTGAATTAGTTCACAAACCTTTCTGATTGTGTATATATATATCATTAATGATGTCCCAATTTATACACATTTTTCCGTTTTCTGTGATATTCATCTAGCTGATGCTGTTCCGAACTCATGGCTAATTCTTGTATATTTATGTCTCTGCTGTAAGTTTGGAAGGTATACATGTATTTGCTCATTCTGTGATTATTTTGTCAATTATTTTCATTGTTACCAGTTTGCTGTATTCTTTCATAAAAAATAAATACACATTCCAGAATACAAAAAGTATGTAATTGTGTAAGTAAAATATATATTCTTTATATGTTTTACGATTTGACTGTTGGGGCGAGTGCAGTTGTATCATCAAAAACACACTTGAAACATTGATCAGCTACTTCAAACATCAAGTTGCACGAGACATCTTGACTATCTGTGATGTCACAAGATGTAACGGTGCTTATGGGAGCTTACGGAGACAGCTGAGCTTCTGTGTAAAATTATAGACCTAGTGCAATTTTTGACAAAAGACATTGTAGAGTATTTACTTTTCCCTTTTAAGATTTCTACAATGCAAAGCCTTTTATATTTTATGTTATTCATTTATTCGCCATCATCACATGGAATCCTGATAGCAATGGAAGGTTTCACACAAAAAACTTGCTTGACATATGTACAGATTTCATTCTGAATTTTCACTGTTTTTACATGTTAGTCTAATGAGCTTGCTGCACTCGCTATAAAGGAATTTGATGATGCTAGTACTCTTAATTTGTGTACCTATATCTTCATCTTAAATAGCTTTCACGATTTCTAATTATGTTTAGCAACCTTTCAAAATAAAAAAAAAAATAATAAGAGAAACTTAACTTTGTGTTGTACTTGTACATGTTTGTAAACCAAACACTTTGTGCATTTTAATCATGGTATTCAAAGGCAAGTCAAAAAGTATAATTTCTTGGTTTCAAAATGCTTAATGTACTCTGATTCTCATATTTTGAAAATCAGGCATTGACTAATTAAAAATGCTCATATAGGTTACAGTTAAGGTCGCAAACAAGGTCATTGGCCTTGGTGTCATTTGAAACAACTTAATTAGTAAAGTATGCACACCAAATATGAAATATGAAAATCTCTTTTGGTTTAAAAGTTATGGTAAAGGTTCAAAAAGGCTATTTTTGGCACATAGGTCACAGTCAAGGTCACAAAGTCATTGACTTGGTGCCATTTAAAAAAACCTTAATTAGTGGTGTATGCATACCAAATATGAAGTCGCTATCTCATATGGTTCAATGGTTCAATAGTTACATTTGTGCTAAGGGTTGATAATTCAGACAGCGCTAAATCAAATCTACGCTTTTTGAAAATTGAATATATGTAATACACTTCACAATCAAGGTCAAAGGCCATTGACCTTGGTGTCAAATTAAATTTCTACAAAATGTTGAAATAGAATGGATACAAAACACGTGGCTTGTGACAATGAACCTTTTGTATATGAGAAGAAAACACTTGCTGTGGCATTCGACTCGATATTAAGATATGTCGACGACGTTTTCTCAATTAACAATAGAGGTAGTAGTTACTTCAATTCTTATTTCGACTCCAAAAATCCGACTGAGCTTGGAGTAAATGATATCACGGAATAAACATCCGTTTTCTATCTGAATACTATAGTAATTTACAAGAAAAAGGCGTTAATGGAAATCTAAAACAAAGCTTTGTCGACTCAAACTTTTTAACTGTGAACTTCCCTTTCTAATGTAGCAACTTATTATTACTGCATATTGGATTCATGTTTCTTAATTTATGCGATATGCAATGCAAACTATTTCTAAAACGAGACAAGCTATTGACAAACAAGTTGATGAAACAAGGATATTGCATGTAATAGACTCACTTAAAGTCATTTCGCAAATTTTATGGTCGGTGCATTGACACTGTCAGCATATACAATCAATCATTAAGACAAATCCTGGCGTGTTTCATACTACATTGTATACTGAGTATACATTGTATAAAGCAATTATTAACGCCAAAATTGTTTTAGGTCACCTGAGTAAACTCAGGTGACCTATATTGCTATCCGTTTTTGCCCGTCGTCGTCCGTCGTGTGTTAACATTTGAACATTTTCAGCTTCTCTGCAGCCGCTCAACCAATTTCAAACAATTTTGGCACAAAGCATCTGTGGGTGACGGCGAACAAAAATGTGAATTTCATGGTCCCTGTCCCCCTGGGGCCTGAGGGATGGGACCAAAACCACTAAAATCAATGCAATCTTTAAAAATCTTTTAGTCTCCATATAGTGAAATATTCTCGAGTGAGACGTTAAACAACATAGAATCAATCTATCTAAACTCCTGGACATCAAGCAGTCAAACTGTTGGCATGATTGTAAGCAGCATTGAGTCCTCTACCAAAATTGAGAAATTCATGGCCCCAGGGTCAGGGGTTCAAGTGCTAGGGCGGGGCTAAATATCTGATATAGCAAAATTGCATTATTTCCTTGAAAATCTTCTTCTCTACTCCTCGGTATTAAATAAACTAACCAAGTACATAGTTACCGGTATCTTAAGTAAGGCTGCCTCTTCCAAAATTGTAAATTTCATGGCCCCTGGGTCAGGGGTTCTGATGTTAGGGCGGGGCTCTATTGATTACTAGTATTACTAGTATATAGTGAAAATGCATTAATTCTTGTAAAAATCTTCTTCTGTGCTCCTGGGTATTAAATAAAATAACCAAGTGAAAATGCATAAATTCTTTAAAAATCTTTTCCATTGCTCTTTGGTATTATGCCAATGATCAAGGTACATATTTATGACAAGTTAATTGATGCAAAGCATCAAATCGGCCGCTAACATATTTAAGATGTCAAGAAAGTAATTTCACAATTCAAAGCATTCATGCAAGAAAACAACAGGATATTCAAAGCTCGCTACTGGAGCGGATCAAAGATCTAATTTTAATTAGATTGACCTCTGTCCAAAATTGAATAAAATATATATTTTGAACTAGAAATAGTGCATTTACTCATCCAAAGGATTTATCGATGTAAAAAAGTCTATGATGAATATGCATGGGCATCGGAAGCAAATCGAAATGTTAACCAACAAAAAATGGTGAAGCCCATTTTCAAAGCCTAGGTATAATGTATATCTTTGCAAAAAATGTGTGAGAGCTAACCCCCCCCCCCTACTCCGATTACGCCTATGATATATATTGTCATCAAAATGAAGATGTATGCCTTTCAAGATATACCACGCGTTGATATCCTGGTCATTTGTCACGTGATAATGCCTATATGATGGCTATGCTGCATGGTCGGGTGCAAAATGTATAAAAATAATCTTTGTGTCATTCACAGCTGTTGGATTTTCAAACAAATTTTTAGGTAGAGAAACTTTTAATTTTTTATAAAACTTTTACCACGTGCACGTTATTTTTATGAAAATCATAACGATTTCTTTAAAAATCTTTTCTATTGTAAAATCTTTTTATGTGACCATAAATTATCAATTATCTGATGTCAAATGATAATGAAATTGAAACAAAATAACAACGATTAAAACTTAATTTAAAGCAAGCCATGATTTTATACATGTTATCATTTGAGAATTATTTTTCTGATCTAATAAAATAATAATATCTATTTCCCCATGTGCACTTTTATCGGCCGCTGCTGATGAAAGGTGCCTATTCCAAAATTGTTCATTTCAGGGCCCCTGGGTTAGGGTTACCGAGGGGGGATGTGGGGGTACGTAGTCTGAAAATAAAGTAATGCTTTGAAATTGGTATTAGTCAACCATTTATGATAAAATAAAAAAAAATTATGATAAAATTTCCAAAATTTTGATATATGTACGTGGCCCTAGGGATAGTGGTTCCTATGGGTTGGGATGCACAACTGGTGGTTAGAAAATGGAAATGCATTTTCTCTTTGTTACCTTGATCTTCCTCTGGGTATTAAGTAACTAAAGTAACCACGCTAACTGTATAGTTATGATAAACAATGGTGCCTCTTTCAAAATTGTGAATTTCATGGCTTTTGGTTTAAAACACGAACCAAATTCAATTGTTGAAAAGTTGTTACATGATACTCAGGTGACCTATAAAGCCCGTGGGCCTTTTGTTTTTTTTTTCTCGATCATGTCGATGAGCACACTGTGGATATGGCCTGTTGGCAAAGGATGCTCACTCTTTTATGGCACCTGATCCAATCTCTGATGTTTTAAATGTCCGTATTTGCTCTGATCCTCATTTGTATCGTTTGAATGGACTTATGAACTTGAATACCTTTTCGTACTTTATACTTCATTTTACACATGCATTCCCTTTGGCAAGAATTTTTGAGTGCCAATATTTTCAAACTCTTGGGTTTTACGTTAATCCTTCATTTGAAAACTTTTACCATGACCTTTTAATTTGTTCAATTTTTCACATACACCTCTCCTATACTTTCAATATTTCCTTTTGATGCCTACTATTGGGGGTTTGGATTACATTTCCATCACAAGGATGTATTCACTTTAACAAAAGAATTGACCTATTGGAGAGAACAATTTCCCGGAAAAGTGACATTTAAAAATCAATCTTTATTTGTTGTTTTCTACCGTATATATGTCTAATTTTTTTTTAAATTTGTATTTTAGGCCGCACCAATTTAATTTCTTGTTCTTCGGACATTTGAGGGAAAAAGTAAGAGCGGGCAAGCGGTTAGATAATAATATTATTACTTTTTTGTAAATAATTTTTTAGGCGGAGCGTGAAAAAATTTGAACGGACAATTATTTTTTTCAGATTAAAAATACCATATATAGAGCGGAAATTGAACAGAAAATGGCACAGAATTCTATTGGTGCGGAAAATTTAAATTAATATTATTTGATAAATCCGGTCTAACAAGAAATTTTATATATATTTATTATTTACAACTTTACAATAAACCTCCAAAGTTGATCGAAACACTATTTTGTCCTTTAAGGTCAGGATCTAGTAAATGAAAGGTGCCTACAGATTTATCAAATTTGAGAAATAAATTCCTTTATTGATGCTTTACAACTTTTGTTTGGTCAAATAAGGTGTTTCGGGGCATTATTTGTAGGTAAACAAGAGGAAAAAATGTATTTTAAACTGTCATTTTCAATGAAAAATTAAGAAAACCAGTCATGAATATGGGAATTTTTTTTCATATTCGACAAAGGAAATGTACCCAGATTGCCTACAGTCTCTCAGAAAACGGTAATTAGTATATTCATGGTCTCAACTTTAAATCAATATCAAATTTGATATAGGTATCCGGTTTACTTTTCATATGATTTCAAATTGAATGTCACGAAAATACCATATTCTTCTACATAATTCTGCTAAAGCCGTAAAGTACGGGAAAAAGAAAGTCGAAATTGATTATGACGTCATAATGGATCTAACACCAAAAAATTAGTCTAAAGTTATTTACTAGATCTTGACCTTAAAGCGTTGATTTTTGCATGAATTTTGGCCTTGACGTCCATCAGGGCGGGCCTGCCCCTAAATAAAATTGTGATATTTTGATAGGTTAGGATGTAAGGAATAATTTAAGATAATTTTTTTTTAGGGGCACCCCTGCCCTAGGGTCGAAATTCACAAAAAACTTACAATAAAATAAGGAAACCGGATCTTCATAATCTGTTTTAAATTTTTAAAGTTATAGTAAGCTCAGTTGATACAAGTGCTGACTTTTACACCTTATAATTTTTAAAGTCGGGGGTTCGATTCCACCTGGTACACCACTTTTAAAGTTTTAAATTTCGCCTTTTCAAAAACTATTTTAATTTTTTTTCATAGACTTGTGTATTTTTCCTTCAATTATCTATCCCTTATGCATGCCCATTCTTGATATAAGAAACACTAAAGAGATATCAAATCGTAACAATCCAATGTACCGTTGTCAGTCAGGTGGAACGAACCTCAGTATAAGCACACGTTCCCCGAGGACAAGAATAACTCACTGTGTGTTACTCAATACGGGTATTCTTGGCAGCATTGAGCTGCCATGAATTTCAATTGTATGTATTCCTTAGAATTTAATCACATTGATTTTGGCTACATATTCAGTAAATGCACTCCCTTGGATTTCATTTAGGCCTATATAATTTGTACACATTAATGACAAGTTTTTATTATATCCACGGATAAATAGCCTAGACATAAAGAATAGAATTTCAGAGACAGTAGACATTACCTGTATACACAATGAGAAGTAAAGACAAATATCAATTATTACATTTGGAGATAACAAACTCAGAAAATCAATGAAAGGGTTCCTCCTACCTCTACTCACTGAAATAAAGATTTAGGAAAAACAAATTGTTATATGTATTCAGCCTAATGTCATTAATTGGAACGGAAATCGACAAGCTTTTTGTAGAGAAAAAACTAAGCCCGGACCTATAGGTCAGATCCCTATTTATAATGAAGTGATCCTTTATTTATCATCAATCATATCAATAAAGCCGAATCCATCCAGACCCGCTTATTTTTCTGCAGATAATATACTGACACGCAAAAGAAACGCAACACCCTACTTTAGAGGGAAATAATTATGTAAAGTTAGGAATTTTGTATCTTAAAATTATGGATATCTTCAATTTGGTAAATATCGGTAATTTAACGGTTAATCTATATTTTACATAACCGTAAAGTCAAGTTTAACGTAACAAAAATCAAAATTTGCATGTTTAACAAAACATTTGGCAATATTATATAGTTTTAAGGGTTTGTACTGTTCATCTTAAGTAATGCAGCAATATTTCAAAAAATAAAATCTCCTTTCGTTTCCCGTAACGATGCTAAGGCTTCTCGAAAATTGCTTAGGTATGCATTTCCATTGCTCTAAATGGATAATTTCACGTAAAGGTGATGGAGAGTTATGATGCAAAAATACACTGCATTACGCCTCAACGAGGTCTTATGTATCATATGCATAAATGATAGTCCTTGGACCGGAAGTCCAAGGGTTTATCAATGCGCAAGAAAATTCGACCTAATCATCTGAAAAACAGGCATTTAAAAATGGCAAAGAATATTTCCTTCGCTCAAATCTCGATATTGATAAACCTATTGTATCGTTGAAATTAGGCTGCAATTGTTGTTTAGGGCAGTCTTGCAGGTTGAAATTGAATGGCTGGGAGGGGGGTGTTTTGAAAGTCATATGTTACTTAATAAAGTTAAAAGACAAACATTTAACATTTTTATCAAATTTCTGATGTTCTGGAAAGTGAGTTTAGCTTTACTGTATTCTTTTTTGAAAATCATTAGATAAAAAATTCAAACATTTGTACATTACTGCTTGTTGCGTTTCTTTTGCGTGTCAGTATATAAACTAATTTTACCATAATTTAGATTAATTATTCTAAATCATATTTCATTGGATATTAATCAATTAACAATTTCTGTAATTTCGCTAAGTTGCATTATATTTAAAGTTTCCATCCAGAAAAGGAGTTGTACGGGGATCCTAGAAACCCTTCACAGTGCTGAGACTGTATCCAGACTTGGTCCCCTTTGGAGAGGTGTAATGTCCCCGTCATAGTTGCCATTGTATACACCGTAGAATGTATTCCTTGTAAGTTGCTATGGGCGTCTAGGTTTTGCCTGGCTCCGTCTTTGGTCAAATATGAATGACAGTAATGACCATATTGGGTCAGATGTGTCCAAGTAAAGGCATAAACACCATCTGTCGGAGACGTAAATATACCCGTGCGACTGTTGTAGGCAGCGCCGTAGTTGGTGATGACCGAGTTGAACACGATCTTCTCCGTGCTGTAGTCCCTGCCTGAGTTAGCATAGGCCGTGAAGGCCACCACTGGACTGCCACCTGTACTCAGAAAGAGAGATAAAGATCTTTTTATAGAAAATTTTTAGAAGAGAATATATAATTGTCTTTTTCGTTCTCATTTAGCAGAAGAATCAAGAGTATTAGACAGATATGTTGGAAATTTGGAAATACCGGTAGAACGATTGAAAAAGACCTAGATACTTGTATGGATGATGGGATTAAAAAGCTATATACACCTTATTTTTTTTTAATCAGTATGTAAAGCAACGAATAAAATATTCAGCTAAAAGTGTCTTTTGATGACCGTATATGAACATTTGGTACTTTTCCTGGCATAGAAATGCTTTTTGTCATTTCAAAGAATACTAGTAGATGATAATAACACTTAAAATTCTTCTTATCAGCCATATATTAAATTTACCTGTTCCGGAAGATGTCGAGGCACTCTGGATTGATGCTCTCAGGGTTTTCAATTGATTCTGAGTATCAGACAATGCCACTGATATCTGATTGACATGCTGCTGTATCGCTGCCCCTAAGGTGCTCTCATTCTTCATACTGGCCCTTAGCAGTTTCCCCATGGCTTCCTGTTCTGCGACAACATTGTCGATTCTGGAATTCGATATTTGTAGCACTTTTGAAATATTCTCGAGCGTCTTGTTCATTTCCCTCTCCAAGTCAAGCCTGAGTTGTCTTTCTTGAATGAGAAGCATTTCTTGGGCTGAAAAATTGGCCTTCAGCTCCTCCATTTCATGTTCAAGCTCTTTCCTGAAGGTGCTTTCTAGGGTCAGGATTTGACGGAGAGCCAGAGTTTCTGAGGCGAACACCTGCTGTTGTATTGTTGTGATGTTTTCTCGTAACTCCTTCTCTAGGGCTTCAAACCTCTCCTCTATTGTAGGGCCAGTCCCTCCCGGGTGAAGCAGGCCTTGTACTCCGAAAATCATCAGAAACTGGATGGAAAAACAGACTCTCAACATGTTTCCTCAATGGCAGTTTATATATACCAGTACTTGTTTAGTGCAGTTATTGAAAAATTGAACCGATATCAATCTCTTTATCAGCTTTACTTGACCTACAAGAGATAATCGGGTAGGGTAAACAACATTTCCATGTGCAAGATATACTAAGTACTCCAAGGTCAATATCTTCCAGTATTTGTTGTCGTCTTTTTGATATCGTGCGGGTTTCAAGTTCAGAATATCTAGATATCTTTGAATGCTTCTCTCAGTCAGCCAATTCCAGTCTGAACATCTCCAACCAATTCAGTTCTTGTTGCCTTTAATTTGGGGAAAAATCCTATTACTAGTATCTCTTATTTGTTCGGCAATTTCACACAAACGCACTCTATTTACATAAAAATACTCGGGCAAAATTTCAATATTTTTCACTTAAAATTTTCTTCAATATTAAATTTCCTCCGTAGTCCAAATAGTTAACACATTCCAGTCCTCTATTTTGCCTGTTATCGGGCAATTTTTTGGTGATTCACTTCTAAGGTCCAAATATCTCGTCATAAATCAAGATATCGATCATTACCACCGGATCTGCTTTAAAATCCCTAACTTTTTTGTTTGTTTGTAATTTGTTTAACGTCCCTTTCGAGAATTTTGCACTCATATGGAGACGCCACCACTTGCCGGTGGAGAGTTGCAAATTTTTCCCTATAATTGGCACTCAGGGCTATTGAGCAGGGAGAGATGTTTTTGGTGCCATCGCCTTCTGCAACACGGGACGTCGGTTTATATGGTCTCATCCGAAGGACCGATCTCCACGTCACGGACCACCAAAACATCAGAGGTGGAAACAGGTGTCATGGAAGTGTAAGCATCCCCCTGCAAAATGATCACATCCGCCGTGTGCTCCTTGTCATGTTCGGAGAAAACGGAAAAATTCCGCAGACAATTCATTAAGTGTTTGAAAATTGACGAATTATCAATTTGTTTGTAAAACGTCATTTAGCTTTTGACGTAATGATTATTTGTTTGCTACCAAGGTCATTGTATCCACCACAAAACTGGCGAAATGATGGCTTCAAATGAGACTTTTGATATTCTTGTTTCATCAACTTTCTTGTCAATATCTTGCCTCGTTTTAGAAATTCATACCTAGAACAAGCTCTTGTGAATCGAATCAACTGAGAGACATAATCCCCATATGCATATATCGGTACAAAAGCAAAGGAAGTTGAGGATTAAAAGGTTAAAAAGTCATCACGTTTTTCATTAAGCTTTTAACAAAAGCGACCAATGATAAGGTTAGTATATTTACGAATTTTATTTTTATTGAAAAAGCAGCTGCCTATGATGTCGGAAACTCTTGACTTAAAATTATTTTGTAAAGAATGGTTGTATGACGTGCTGAAAACCATACGTTTTTACGTTAATGATTTTGTAAACATTTTGAAATTGTAAATTTTCCAAAAGGTCATTAGTTTTTTAGCAGTCACAATTCATTTCAAATCTTCTCGAATATACCGATACTCTACTCCTGAAGTGTCTCCTTCACTGCTGTTAATATATTAGTGAGAGGTAAAAAGATAGGATTAGATAATTTACTGGATTCTTGCAGAGTCCGGTCCAGGAATTTGAAAGGGAGAGACGCCAATTTAGGATCGAGGTAGGGGCCCTCAGCCGCACAGAAAAAATCTATTCAATCCTGTGTATATTTTGATTACAAAAGGGGGATCCGGGCCCCCTCTTAATCCGCCACTGGCTTGCTATGTATATTTGTTTGTAAGGATTTCATGGAGTCCAGTAAGGGTTTGGTAATTCAAATTCATTTCGATTGTTTTGACAATTTATTTGTTTTAAAGTGAGATTTCCTTCTTAGAAAGGTGGCAATAGGTATAAGTTAAGATTTCTTATTGATACCACAAGATGAAATTCTTCTTTTTGAATACTAGTATATCTTTATAAATTATAATGTTATGGACTATCATACGACTCGGAAAATAGTTCCTATGAAAATTTTCATAAGGAAGGTCAAGTAGGTTTTGGATATGTCATCACCCTGTTCAGTTTATACAACAAGATACTAGTATTGCTGTAGTATACATTAACTTCCCTGAAATGACAAATCACTACACGTATGAAATATAGTTGTACCTACTTTGTCCATTAATAGATTTTCTTGTTATTTTTCAGGAAAACTGGCTGTATAAGTTAAGTTTATTTTATTGAAATTGTCTTTTTAAATTTACTCTTGGACAAGTTGTAGACGACGATATTTGTATGCATTTGGATTCCGACATCCAGATGGGTCCCCGTTTGTCCTATTGAAAATTTATTTGCCTCTAGGCATAAACGAGATGGAAACCAAAAAAAAATGAATTTGATTCATTCAAGGTAAATCATAGTGCACATATGTTTCTTAGCATTTCCGCATCGGAGAAGCTGGAAGATTTCCATTCAAAGCAAAATGCAGCAATCCTGGAAGAAACATATCAAAAATACAGTTAAAAGACTGCAAATAAAAATGTTAAACTAGTTTTATTAATAAAACCTTATCTTTATACAGTTTCATTTGAGTTTAAAATACCTAGTTTCATCGTCTCGAGAAACGGTCGGGAGTTCGCTTATTGTTCTCTCTCCTTCCAGATCGGTAGATGCTCATACAGTTTGGCCGTGATTTGTGACTTGGTTTATTTTTATTTTTCAAATTTTTATCATTGAATGAGATATTTTTTTTTATATGTATACAAGTATTAAAGTACTTATTGTACCTGCAACAGCAGACTGAAATCCTGCATTGTAGTCACACGTTACTTCGTTTGTTTTAAAATTAGCTCTGTCATCAACATAATTATCATTTTCGTCTGGCCCACCCACGAGGGCGCCTCTGAGGACATTGGGATTTGGGTTGCTGCTTCCAAATGTATTCCAGTCACAGGGCGCAGGCGCAGGAGAACAGGAACTACAAAATCAATCTTTATTATTACTTTTGCAAGTTTACACTTTCAGATACGTTTTTATCATAAATTTTTTTTTAATCAACAAATTAAGTTAAGTGGTATATTTGTCACTTAATTAAATTGTATTTTTTTTTAATTACCTATCACGATGATGCGGCTTTAAGGGGTAACTTGAACCGTAACCTATTAAGTAACTGAAGTTTTTGTTGTTGTCGCCGATCATGTAGTGAATTTGTGACATGGCCCAGGTTTTGTACGATTCAGCATTCCCGATACCATTTTGTGCTGCTAGAAGCGAGATGAGAGCAGCATTTGCTGTTGGAAAAAAGTATAAAATGTTGGGAAAATATTGAACTAAAATACATATAAAGGAACATTTAATAAAGTAAATTATAGCAAAGCTTAAAGGAATTCTATTATAAAAAGATTCGTCTTCCACAAATCAAAATATGAATCGATACCAATTTCCACACAGTAAAACAATTGGAAACTGGAGAAAATTCCTACCCGAGTATCGAAGTGAACCCCACTCCAATCTAAAGGCTAGGCCACATTTAGTATAGTTAAGGGAACCACCCGGCATATATGACGTCACAAATGTCTCGGTTCTGGATTTGTACACAGGTTTTTTGGTGGTTATATACAAGAGGATCTATAATGATAAAAACCATTTTTTCTTTTGACATTACCAGTATTTAAAAAGTTTATTGAATACCGATTAATTTGAAAAAACTTAATAATTTTCAATTATTATCATCGTTTTTTATATTCTTGTAATCTAATTTTGTTGGATCCGGGTTATGTAGTTTTTGCCATCTGTCTAGTAGTCTTTCTGTACACGTTTGGCTGTTTGTCCGCAAAAACTTGTCCATAACAATTGCTTGGATAGAACTATTGCTTTCGTATTTCACACGTATATTTCTTGTGCCAAACCTTTCTTTGGGTACCAACATAACAGTGCATTGACTTTTTGGCCTTGACCTTGGAGTTTGACGCACCATTGCAAAATTTGCCATTAAATATGAACCTTGACCATAACTTTTGAATATTTGGTGCTACGGATTTCACACTTAAAGAATGTATTTCTTTTGACAAGACCCTTTCCATGGAGTATAAAGATTTTTTATCTCTAGAGATATTCGAAACATTAAAATAAACTTTTATTTCGAACGTCACTGATACAATACATAACCTACTTATAACTCAAAAAAACATTTTACGGAAATTTAAAGAAAAGGAATATCCAATTTCTGTGTTACACCATCTTCACTAGCCAAGTGTCTGATTCGTTTACCCTCATATCTTGGCTAGCGGAGATGGTGTAACACAGATATCAGGTTCCTTTGATGTTTATTCTTAATTTTAATTCATAAATAAAGCAAAATTACACAGAACCTTGTCCGGATTTCATTATACATGTACCGTTTCATTACACTGCCAATTGTTAATTTGAATGTGGTGACAGCTATTATAAAAATATCTGTATTAAAAGTTTTCTATCTTCTTGATAAAAAAAAAAATCTTACCTGACACATTGCTGTTTTGTCGTCCCAGTCAAAAGCCCAGGGGGCGAGGTCGGTGGCATACTCATTATAAGCAGCCTCGGCTTCAGTTAGGTAGGTGGCATCATTCGTCAACATATACAGTAGAGTCGCACTTGTACACATTTCATCTTGATACATGGAGGACCTTTGATAAAAAAGAAGGTTAAATCTGATACTTTATACATACGGTGTTCAACAAACAGTTTCTGTGCATCAATTTGCAATGCTAGTACTTTGATTTGCTATTGAATAAACTAATTTATAAACATCTAGCAAAAATATATCACTAAACTCAAAATTCACATAAAGTTTTCGTTTAAATACTTGTAGAATTTAGCTCCATCACTGATGTCATCGTTGTATAGGCCTTTGATTTTCATAGAAAAACTGTACAAACTCTCGGCACTGGAACGAAGTTTTTCCGAATATGCTGCATCTGTAAGTTCAAAATTAATTAATCACTATCTTCATTGAGCTTTATTGTTAGTTCTGGAATACTTTTGATATCATTTTCATTTTTTTTTACGATTGTGAAGATTCAAATCTTTAATGTCCTTTGACCTTTATCTTTAAAGACCATAGCCCCCGCGGCCATAGCTGCTACTGTCTCTCCCACAACGTCACTTCCTTTTTTGTTGCTATCCAAGTAATAGACAGGTCTGGCGATTTTTATGTCTTCTGCTCTTCTCCAGAGGGAATGGTCCTGTTCACCGTTACCAACCTATTAAATAGTGGAAAAGAATTCTATTCTTTTATCATTTTAGGTATCTCAAGCTGTGTATAGCTTAAGGATTTTCTAACATTCCCCAAACCGACGAAAAAAATACCTGTGCGTAATAAATTTGTTTATTAGAATTCCAACATTTTAGAAAGTAATCCAATGACCATTTTATCGAGTTGTACATATTGTCAAGCTCTCCGGATTGTTGATAGGCATCCTTCCAGAAATATAAGCCAAGTGCAAGGTTTGTAGTTGAACCCGCCATAGGGAGGTTAAAGTTCACAAGGTCACCAGCTATTAAAAAATGTATACTGAAAATTCAAAATAAGGCGTTTTTTACCATTATCAGCAATTCATAAAATAAATCACAATATAGAATAATGTTTCTTATTGTCAAATATAGTTTGATATAATCATTTTGTATAAAGCCAAACACTAATTGCAAGTTTACCTCTAAAATTTTATAAAAGGGGTAAATATTGTATTATTACATTAATAATGATCGAATATTGAAGAAAGTCGTTTAGTAACGGCTGGTTTCTTTTGACTGTATTTTTAAGTAGATTACATTCGAACAAAAATTTTTAAAAAAGACCTAGTGCTTTGAACATTTTTTCCAAATATGTATGTTTTTAATGTAGAAATGACCTGCCTAAACAATGCTTAAAAATTATTTTCTCACAAATTTTAAAATAGCTTAAAGTAATCGGTTACATGTATATCCCAAAGATTTTTTTACCGTCATACCATCCGCCGGTTAGATCCTCTCCGTTTATACCCCTATCCAAGATGGTAGCATTTTTTCTCCAAGAAATCCTGTTATTTGTCAGATGACCAGCCTGCTGGGCTTCGTAGAATAAAATAGACTCATGGAGAATAAGGCTGTAATTATGTGCAGTGTTGACCGGCGAGCTTGTTCTTCTTGCCTGCGTTATACCTGCCCAGAAAGCAACCAAAATGGCTAAAAGGAACCTGGATATTGAAAAAAATAAATCACATAAATTTTCATTTTGTGGAGTTTTAATTAATTAAGAGCATTGAATTGTGTGCTTGCAGTTGGTTCACACTAGTGGTAAGTGATATGCGTGGACCATTTCCCGGATATTTTTTTCGTTGCTTAAATTTTGAGCTAAAAAAGAGTATAATCTGGCCTCTACAAAGCTACAAGAATCTGTACCCTAAAGTGTGCAATCTTCTATGAAGATATTTCTGTTATCTGGTTGGTATACTATTATTTTTTATTAGTTCACTTTTAATTGAAATTGAATGAAAATGGAACTAATCAAAGGAAATGCAGAAATATTTATACCGAAATATCTCAACTAAAGGAAAACAGTAATCAAATATCATAAATTAAAATCCCCATCTAAAACGTAACTGAATTTGGTGTTTTTATATATATACATATATATTATATGTAGTGAAAATACCTGTGTACCATTTTCAAAATTAAGAAATTGAAAGCAGCAAAAACTAACTTCAAAGTGTGTTTCTGTGAAGATTCTTTCTTTTTGAAAGTTATTCTTAGAAATAGACGTCCGAGATTTGGTTGTTACATGTACATGTAATACAAAAATGTCATTATTTTTCACATTTCTTCTTTTCTGCATTAATAGCTTTTCCTTTTTTTCTTTCAAATTTCGATTTTATAATTAAAATGGATGATTCAGAAATTATTATAAAAACCTTTACAATACAATAAAATAATTTTTAAGCAAAACTTACTTCATTTTGTCTTTTCTGAAAGTTTCTCTTTGCTTGTCCTATTCTCGGTTCACTTAGTTTTCCTCCTGTGCTTATTTTTGTTGAGTTTCGACCGAGAGAAGAAACGAAAATTGCGTGAAGACTAGTACACTGTTGAAAAAAATGTAAAAAAACAAAAAAAAAAACAAAAAATAACAAAACCAATCGTTTTGCGTACAAGCCGTAAGGTCTTATTAAGAATACAGCTTCGAAAAAATATACGTGTCTTCCAATATACACAAGCCCGTGGCATTTTTTTTTTTAATTTTATCAATCTATTCCACTGACCAGTAAGCTTGAAATAAAAAAAAATTCCTGACACATCTGTTTCATATTCAGATATTTACTTGAAAAAGGTATCAATGGTAATCTAACAACCAAGCTTTAGTACATTTTTGTATAATTTATGTGATGACTTTAAATTATCAATCGGCATCTTCCCTTACATATGCAGCAAAATACCTTCATCTGCATACAGAGTTTATACCTCTCAGTTGACTTGATACGCGAGAGCATGCTTTTCGGATGAACAATTTCTAAAACAAGGTTTATTGGCAAACAAGATGCTGAAACAGGAATAGTACTATCAGCAGTCTCGTTTAAAGTCATCATGTCGTAAGTTCTATGGTCGATACAATGAATTAATTCCCGATCAAGACAAGAGGCACTCGGGGGTGTGGCCGGTCGACAGGGGATGATCACTCCTCCAGAGCACTTGATCCCACCTCTGATGTTTTGGAGCGCCCTGTTTGCTCTGCTCCTACTTTGTATTGTATTCTCTTTTGAGCTCGAAAACTGTTTGTTATCTCGATATATTTCATTAAGGAGTTTATATACATTGATATATTTCATGTATATTATATATACTATATACATGTATATATACCTGTATATATAAAGGAAAAGCAATGTATAAAAGCAAACCTCGATATATAAAGGAAATGCGATATATATAAACAAAACCTCGATATATATAAAGGTCATGCGATATATATAAACACAACTGGGATATATATAAAGGAAATGCGATATATATAAACAAAACCTGGATATATATAAAGGAAATGCGAAATATATAAACAAAACCTCGATATATATATAAAGAGAAATGCGATATATATAAAAAGAAAATTTTCCACTGCGTGACCTGTAGAGCTCGGCTGCCCATCAAGATTATATACAGATTAACCCCTGGCAGGGGGGAATCAGTTATACATTACTCATTTATAACTTTCCCAGAATCGGCAAAATGTTGCTATGTAATAGTGTTTATTTGTTTGTACATGCATATATCAATGAACTGTAATTGTAACATTACTTAAACTAATGCAATTAATTGAGAAGAATAGCATTTACAGTGGCGGATTCAGGAATTTCGTAACGGGGGGGGGGGGGGGGGGCAGAAGGCAGAGGGGTCTGGTGGCTGTACGGAATTTAGGATAATGGACCTATAAATTATATATACAAATATTTACACGCCTTTGATTCAATTATTAGTATATATATTAATGAAATAAGTATAATATAATATTTATCGTATTTTCTGTGCATTTATTGGCTTTACATGTATATGATCAACTTCGTTTTTACAATCTAGAGCTATCTTGTTTACTGTTTTACAAAAACTTAGGCGTACTACCTTTGGTTTCACGACCGAGAATTTATGAAAATAATGTATAACAGGAAGTCTCTTTTTTGATGCCCTAATTCAAATTTATTTAAATTCATTTAAAAAATAATTAACTAGTATGCCCATTGATTGTTAAAAAATAATCAATATCGTTCGGAATGGGAGAGAGGGGAAGGATGAAGGTACCCACTTCATTTGAATGTGAGGGAAGAAAGTGACAAGTAATATTATATATACTGTAATAATTTTAGGGTCTTTAATGGTGTGGAACAAATATCAAGTATTTGGGAATTAATTAAAAGAAACGAATAAGTACATGCACACTCACATAATTAAACTGCGGATTTTTATCCCACGTCGTAAATTAAATCGATTTGAAATTCTCCATACATCATGTAAAAAAACATAGTAAAACGTTAAAAAACTTATAAAGCATGATAAAACACACTTGTATGTTTGCTGCGAATTATAGTTCGACTGAAAAGACCCCCCAGCGTTAATATACATTTTAAGCAGAAAAGTCTCTGAAGTCTTTGAAATTTAAATTAATTCAATTTAATTCATTCACACACTGTAAATGGTACACAAGGTACGGAAACATAAAAAAAACATACATATACATGTACATATAATACAGTGGAGAAGACACAGACAACACTATTAAATTTAGAGATAAATGTACATAATTTTTTTCAAAGAATCAACATCATTTTGACACATGAAGAAGAACAGCAGTTTTTTTAGCTTTAGTTTTAATCATCATAATTATCAAGATACACAAATATAGAAAACAACACACTGAATACCATCCTGAAACAGCCACACCAACTGATCGCAATCAAAACATATTAGATCGGGAGCTGCTTATCGTATGTTGGCGAAGCTCTGTTGTTATGGAGGTCATTAAACATGTTAAAGGTCAGGCGATGGAAATTTTTCTCTTTATATAAATCGAAGTGTTGGTTATATATTTCGCATTTCTCTTTATATATATCGCATTTCTCTTTACATATATCGAGGTTTTGTTTATACATTTCGCGCATTTCCTTTATATATATCGAAGTTTTGTTTATATATATATATTGCATTTCCTTTATATATATCCAGGTTTTGTTTATATATATCGCATTTCCTTTATATATCGAGGTTTGCTTATATATATTGCTTTTCCTTTATATATACAGGTTGGCACTAATGGGCTTCCGTAATTTACTTTCCCTAATATTTGGGAAAATGTATCAAATAATGCATACAATTGCATCCAAACATCTGTAAAAACTATTGTTTACAAATAAAGAAAAATAATGTTAAACACTTACCAATTACATAATCGAAAATAATATACAGATGTTCAACTTTCGTTTAATATATCGGACACCAGGCTCAAGTATTACCAGCGGGTCAGTTAAAATCTAGACTACTGACATATATACATCAATTCTTGATAAAGGCAGGTTTGTATTCTGTGACGAATCTTTCTTGGACAGGGTCTGTGCATGAAAGTATCATAAATATAAATAGATAAGACAGTACTGAATTTGGAATAAAATTTTTGAATTGGGTAATTAAAATCAAGAGTGGATATTATTTTTAAAAAATCAAGAAAAAAATCCTGTATGTTTAAAAATCAACATTTAAATCAACTAGTTCATTTGTCCCCCAAGGAACTGGATCGGCACATGGCAAAGCAAGGATAAAAGGGGAGATTTTGAATTTCTTGGGTCTCGATTACATGTTGTAGTACTTAATGATCAACTCTGAGATATCGGGGGTTAATTACTTGAAGAATTAGTGGTTGATACTTCGTTTCACTTCTATACATGAACTGTATCTTTTTGAAATATTCTGAATATCAGTGTTCGAGTATTCTAGATGTAAGTGTTCGAGTATTCTAGATGTAAGTGTTCGAGTATTCTAGATATCTGTGTTGGAGATAATGAGGTTCATTTTTATTTTTTTTTTAATTTCATTTTAGTCCTAGATTAGTTCCAATCAAACTTCATTGAACAATAAAAACACAGATATTTAATGATTTGATTAATTTATTCAATAATAACAAGTTTTAAAACAATATAGCACCAATTGGTTTCTTAGCATTTCCGTGCTGGAGCAGCCGGGAGATTTCCATTCAAGGCAAAATGGAGCAACCCTGAAAGTAAAATTGAAGCTTTTTGAAAATAAAATAGTACAAATTTAATATGTATCATTAAAAATGACAACTTATTGAATCATTGATCAAATGTAAAGCTAGTTTTTCTTTGTACCTGCTACAGCAGACTGGAAGCCGGCATTGTAGTCACATGTGACCTCGTTTGTTTTAAAATTATTTCTGTCATCAACGTAATTATCCTGAAGGTCTGGCCCGCCCACGAGGGCACCTCTGAGGACGTTGGGATTTGGGTCGCTGCTTCCGTATGTACTCCAGTCACAGGGCGCAGGCGCAGGAGAACAGGAACTACAAAATAAAAGACAGGGATAAGTTTAAACAAACATTTAAAAGAAAAACACAAAACGCAATTAAATTCTGCAGTTAGTTTTATAAATTCCAATAAAATTTATATGAATAGATTTCTTCAAAATTATGTACACGTATTCATATTCATTCATTTTTTGCCACTGTACTTGTATTTCTTAGAATTTTCATTTACCTTCCACTATGATGTGGCTTTAAGGGATAACTTGATCCATAACCTATTAAGTAGCTAAAGTCCCGGTTATTATCGCCGACCATGTAGTGAATCTGGGACATTGCCCATGTCTTGTAAGCATCGGCATTTCCAATGCCATTTTGTGCTGCTAGAAGCGAGATGAAGGCGGCGTTTGCTGTTAAGAAAAAAATATATAAACTTGGGTTCATTTATACATGTATAAACGTTTTTTTTTTCTTGCGCAATTTAATTTTTGAAGGATCAAAATAACAAAATACCTTATAATTTATTAATTTTAATCTTTCTTAACCAATTAGAAAGAACAAATGAAGGATTCCCATACAAAGTGTTATAAAATTGATGATAGAGATAAACCAAATACCACTATAAAATGTATGGAAATGTAATATTCTTCTAGATAACCCAGAGAAAATCAGATCTTAATTATTAAAAAGGAATTATAAATCACCAGAGTATCGCAGTGAGCCCCATTCCAACCGGAAGGCCAAACCACAATCTGTGTAAGGCAGGGAACCACCCGGCATGTATGACGTCACAAATCTCTCGGTTCTGGATTTATAAACAGATTTTTGGGTTGCTACATAGAGAAGGACCTGCAAAAAATCATTAAATGGTTATTACAGTGGTACACAGTTCTTTCCAATACTAAAAGAAAAGTTTGAATTTTGTATAATATTTAAAAGCTTCCATTAATCTTATAATCACGTTGGCGTTTGAACTAAAGGAAAATTAATATTGCAGTTTATATATTTATGTTCCACAAACGAAGTTGGGGAACATATTGTTTTTACTCTGTTTCTTATTATGTTCCCCAAACGAAGTTGGGGAACATATTGTTTTTACTCTGTTTCTTATTATTATTATTATTATTTTTCTTCTTCCTGGGAAAATATTTTCCGCGAATGATCTTGTAACCTACACGTCCGACTTAGGTGAAACCTTTTTAGGGTCAGTAGGCATATTATGTAGATTTGCGGAACGAAGGTCATTTTGCGCGCACGTGCTTGCAAGAGCGCGCACGTGCAAAGCGTGAAATGACCAAAATAATAGATACAGCCGTAACTTTTCTATTTTTTGATTTCATGATTTGATACTCATAATATAAGTATATATTAGTAGAGTAGACGTGTTGACATGGTCAAAATAGCAAGATCTCACGCGCATGCACGTGCACTTCCCTCTGATTGGCTGAAACTAAAGTCTCAATATCTTTCTTGTTTTTTGTCATAATCCTTTGAAATTTTGAACTTAGTCACACAATATGAAGATCTACAGCATGGTATATAATAATTTTCATGAAAGCACGTACATGCGCGTGTGCTGGCAAGAGCGCGCACATGCAACATGTGAAATTACCAAGATAATGGATGAAGCCGTAACTTTTATATTTCTTGATGGAATTTTTTGAAACTCACAATGCATGAATATAGTAGTAGTATGGACAAGATGACATGGTCAAAATTGCAAGATCTTACGCGCATGCACGTGTGCTTTGCTCTGATTGGCTGAAACTAAAGTCTCAAAATCTTTCTTGTTTTACGTCGTAATTCTTTGAAATTTTGAACTTAGTCACATATTATGAAGATCTACCGCATGATATATAAGAATAATCATGAAAGCACATAAATCCACGTGTGCTGCAATCTGATTGGCTGAAACTTTACATGCCTATATCTTTCTTGTTTCTCAACAAAACAGGATGAAGTTTAGAATATGAATAGGTATTATGGATTCCTACATGATATTGCTATCCAAATTGAATGCAAGGGACGTGCTTGCATGCACATGCGCACACGGAATGCGTAAAATGAACAATATGTTTGAAAAACGGTAAAACTTATATTTTTATGACTTTTTATTGATTTCTGGAATATAAAGATACGTTATTGGTTTAGACAACATGTCATGATCACCTTGCATGTGCATGCACGTGCGTTTGCGAACAATGCGTTAAATGACAAAAGGTTGACATCATTGTAGCTTTTAAAATTCTTTTATGAAATCCTGAAAAAATTTTTAAAGGAAATTTGCACAAAAAGGGAGTTGGGGAGCGTTTGGGGAACATCTGTAACGGTCCCCGTTACAATTAGAACTAGTTATTATTATTATTATTATTTTTCTTCTTCCTGGGAAAATCTTTTCCGCGAATGATCTTGTAAACTACACAACTGACTAAGGTGAAACCTTTTTAGGGTCAGTAGGCATGTTATGTAGATTTGCGGAACGAAGGTCATTTTGCGCGCACGTGCTTGCAAGAGCGTGCACGTGCAACGCGTGAAATGACCAATATTATGAATATTGCCGTAACTTTTTTAATTTTAGATAAAATGTTTTGAAACTCATAATATAAGGATATATTAGTAGCATAGACAAGATGACGTGGTCAAAATTGCAAGATCTCACGCGCATGCACGTGCGCTTTGCTCTGATTGGCTGAAACTAAAGTCTCGATATCTTTCTTGTTTTTTGATAAAATCATTTGAAATTTTGAATATAGTCATACATTAGGGAGATCTAAAGCCTGGTATAAAAGAATTGTCATATGAAAGAATGTGCATGCACGTGTGCTTGCAAGAGCGCGCACGTGCAACACTAGAAATGTCCAATATAATTGATATAAACGTAACTATTTAATTTTTTTATGAAATGTTTTGAAAGTTATAATATAAGGATATATCAGAAGCATAGACTAGATGACATGGTCAAACTAGTAAGATCTCACGCGCATGCACGTGCGCTTCGCTCTGATTGGCTGAAACTAAAGTCTCAGTATCTTTCTTGTTTTTCGACAAAATCCTTTGAAATTTTGAACATGGTTATACATTATAAAGATCTACAGCATGGTATGTAAGAATTATCATGAAAAGCATGCGCATGCACGTGTGCTGCAATCTGATTGGCTGATATTTTAATTGTCTATAACTTTCTTAGTTTTCAACGAAACGGGATAAAATTTAGAATATGAATAGGTATCATGGATTCCTACATAATGGTACTATCAAAATTGAATGCACGAACATTCTTTCATGCAAGTGCGCGCGCGAAATACGCAAAAGGGCCAATATTTTTAAAAAACATTAAAATGTATATTGTAAAGATTTTTTTTATTTATTCTCACGATATATAGATATGCTAATTGTTTAGACAACCTGCTATGATCATCTTGCATGTACATGCACGTGCGTGCGCATACAATGCGTTAAATGAGATATAGTTGATATCATTATACCTTTTATAATTCTTTGATGAAATCCTTCGATACTGATCATATTTTGTAAAATGTCTTACAGGAATTAGGCACAAAAAGGGATTTGGGGAGCGTTTGGGGAACATCTGTAACGGTCCCCGTTACAATTAGCACTAGTTTAACAATGTCTTTAAAATTTCCTCATCAAAATTTATTATTCTAAAACATACTTGACACAGAGCAGTTTTATCGTCCCAGTCAAAAGCCCAGGGGGCGCTATCGCTGCCGTACTCATTATAAGCAGCCTCGGCTTCAGTTAGGTAGGTGGCGTCATTCGTCAACATATACAGTAGAGTCGCACTGGTACACATTTCATCTTGGTATCGAGAGGACCTTTGGAAAAAATTGAGAATTAATGTATACATTTTTCACTATTAATTTGTCAAATTTCAATCTATTCTTAAAAAATACCAATTTAATCTTTAATTTTTTTCAAAGATATGGGATTCTTTACAGTTACATGACTTTCGAGTGTAAATTAGTCTAATTACAATGATACATTAAATGTGAGGGGCAGAAAACTTGCTACATAAAGTAATTACTTGTAGAATTTAGCTCCATCCCAAATATCATTGTTGTATAGGCCTTTAATTGTCTTGGCAAAAGTGTACAAACTCTCGGCACTGGAACGGAGTTTTTGGGAGTATGCTGCATCTGTAACCGCCAAAAAACATAAAAGGTCATTGTAAAGTTCTGACATTTTTTCTTAATATGATAATTTTATTTTAGTTTTACGACTGTGAAGGTTCAAATCTTTAAAGTCATTTGACCTTTATCTTTAAAGACCATAGCTCCAGCGGCCATAGCTGCTACTGTCTCGCCCACAACATCACTTCCTTTTTTGTTGCTATCCAAATAATAGACAGGTCTGGCGGTGGTTATGTCTTCTGCTCGTCTCCAGACGGAATGATCCTGTTCGCCATTACCAACCTATCAATATAAATAGTGATTAATAACATTTATCTCCTTATAAATTAACTGTAAAAATGTATAATTTTCAGGGTTAATAATATGTATGATCACAGAGATTAAAAAATACCTGTGCATAATAAATTTGTTTGCTAGGATTCCAACATTTCAGAAAGTAGTCCAAAGGCCATTTTATTGAGTTGTACATATTGTCAAGCTCTCCAGCATGTTGGTAAGCGTCTTTCCAGTACAATAAACCCAGGGCAAGATTTGTAGTCGAACCCGCCATAGGGAGGTTAAAGTTCACAAGGTCACCGGCTATTAAAATAAATACATACAGTGTAAATATTAGATTTTATATAAAAACGATGAAATAATATTTTGTATAAAGGCAAAATTTAAACAAATGAATCGGCCAGAGAGGTTACTGTAAAGGAATATTTTGAACTAATTCTATATTCTTTTAACATGCAAGACCATTCGTGTTTGAAAATGAGATTGAATTTTGTATTTGTAGAATATGCGAAGCGATATAAAAAGGGAAGAAAATTTATTTAGAGACTGGAGAGAAAGTTCTTCATCAGGGACTTCTTTACTATGAAACTTTGAACTGTGTAGACGCTAAATACAAGGAAAAAAGTCCCACGAAAATAGCATTTCCTTACCGTCATACCATCCTCCAGTTAGGTCCTCTCCGTATATTCCTCTGTCCAAAGTTGTAGCATTACTTCTCCAAGAAACTCTGTTATTTGTCAGATAACCAGCCTGCTGGGCTTCATAGAATAAAATAGATTCATGAAGAATGGAATTGTAATCATGAGCTGTGTTTACCGGTGCACCTGTAGTTGGTGCTGCAGTTGAAGGTTGCTGTGTTGGTGCTGCAGTTGAAGGTTGCTGTGTTGGCGCTGCAGTTGAAGGTTGCTGTGTTGGCGCTGCAGTTGAAGGTTGCTGAGTTGGCGCTGCGGTTGAAGGTTGCTGTGTGGGTGCTGCGGTTGAAGGTTGCTGTGTGGGTGCTGCAGTTGAAGGTTGCTGTGTGGGTGCTGCAGTTGAAGGTTGTTGAGTTGGTGCTGCAGTGGAAGGTTGCTGTGTTGGCGCTGCAGTTGAAGGTTGCTGTGTGGGAGCTTTGGTGGTTGGCGTTGGCATTGCAGTTGAAGGTTTGGGTGTCAGAGTTTGACCATTTCTATCAATTGTACACGTACCAGATGGCACAGGAAGAGAATCAAAATCAACCTGAAACCTCAATCTGATTTCGTTTTGCCTCTCAGGCCATCTGTTTTTCAAGTAATACCATAGCCCATTTGACTGTTGATCTTCAATATCCATTGTCCAGTCCTATAACAAATATGTTTTTCTCTAAGTTATGAATCCATATTATAAAATACCCCTGGTACTGATTTTATTTAGTATAAAAAATGTTGATAGATTTGTTATCTTGTTAGTGAATAAATTTAATACACTTTTGTTACCGTCATTCCATAAGTTTCTTTATCGAATTCCACCATGATGCCATAGGATTTAAGTTTTGGCTTAATCTTGAATACACAGATGCCGGTTATACGGTAGCCATTTCCAACACTCCAGTGTTGACCCTCGACGGATATCGGTATGACGTCAGAAAATGACTCTGGTATTGTCGTGGTGGAGGATCGCGGTGCTGACGTTGTTGAAGGTTGTTGCGTCACCGAGGTGGTACGGGTGGTGCTTGCTTGTGATGTCACTGGGGCATGCGTAGTAGGTGCTTGTGTTGTCGTAGAAGGTGGCGTTATGTTACTGATGCAGCTTCCTCTTGGAAACCTCTTCTTGCTACCTCTGTATGTCAAAATGAATTCAACTTTCAGCATCGTGTTTTGATATGGATATCTGCTTGATAATTCATATGCCCGTCCTTTGTTTAGTATTTTGTCGATGTTCATGATCCATATCTGTTAAACAAAGTCAAAATCTGTATTGTGTACTGTATGTTCTTGATATGCCGTATCATGTCAATTAAAATAAAAAGTCGAAAACGATTTCCCCTACTTCCTTCTACATAATGAAGGAATGAAAGTCAATCTTTCTCATCAACTGTGCTCTGAATCAGACATATCGGAAAAACACTTTTTGATATTTTGAAAAAAAAAGAAAGACTTTAGAATTTGCAAATGAACAAATCTCTACCCCACCTGAAGATTTCTAGTAGGTTTATTAAAGATGAGGTCCATTTTTATATCTCCCGCGTCTCTGGATTCGTTCAGTTCGAACACGCACCATCCTTTCATTTTACGAGCCGTCTTTGATTGTCCCCAGACATTGTCCTTATGTACAGGTACCTCGTATATTGCACTCACACCCGCCCAAAAAGTCATGAGCATTCCTAAACTGTACCTGGTCGAAGAAAAAAATTATCTGAAGAATCATAGACAATACCACAGGTATATGAACAAAATGCACTGTTTACTTGCATCTGGGGTAAAATCAATGCACTTTCTGGTCAACGACAAGGTTCATTTTTGCTTGAAGTTTTGCGGAACTTAAAGAATTTATGGAACAAATTTATTTTGCAAAATTTCTTATTTAATTTGGGGTGTGTGTATGCAAAAGGCAAATGCATAATTAATTTTATGTGTAAAATGCAATTTATCACACATGTTTAATTTTTGTTATAAAGCAAAAATATTTTCCCTTTTTTAAAAGGTTTAATTTAGTATAATCAATTTACAGACTGAAAAATATTCATATTTTAGCAATATATAACTTATTATAAAATAGATAAACTTACTTCATCGTGTCTTTCCCCAGAGTTTTTCTTAGCTAGTCTTATTCTGGTCACTACTGTTTTTTCCTGTATACTTATTTTTTGTTGGACAGGTCCGAGAGAACCTCTATTTATATCCCAAGGAAGTTGTCTATGGGTCAGCAAAATAAGGTTATGACGTACCCACACGAGATTTAAATCTCTCAAGTCCAGCCTGTTATTTTTGTTTGGATAAAAATTTCAATACAGTTCACGCGTTAACGTTATTCAAGGGTATGGTCAGTTAGTATACGATTAAAACACGGCGACTTAGAATGTTTTTCATAAATTCCAAGATTTCTGTTTTATTTTGCATAATTTACTGTTTTTTTAATTTTTGTGTTTGACGAAAGAAAAAATTCCATCCGTAAAAGAAACAAAAACAAGGGAAAAAATAATTTTTTAGCAATAACATGTTCAACTGTTAAAAACATCAAATATGGTGGAAATATGAAATTATTGAACAAGACGCAAATTTTAATTTTTTTCATTTGTTCAAATGCATGCTCAATTGAACAAGACGCAAATTTTACTTTTTTGTCATTTGTTTAAATGCATGTTCAATATATCACTTCTTATTAATTAAAAATTATTAATTTTCTTATTTTTTTTTTCAATGATTCTTGAATCATAATGACTAATGGGCGATTATCTGTTAATTGACTCATAGACTTAAGGGTTATTCATTTGTTTTATGACTTCTTATACTTACGCTTTTTTCTTATTGTGAAATAGCTTTTAATTAATCGTAAAACTTTTGTGTTAATTATGTCCATTGTGTTCAAAATAACTTTTAATCATAAAATCGTCATGTCCTGCTGTAATAATGAATTGGTCATCAAAAACAAATTCTTCAGAATGTCGAAATATAATAACAAATAAAGCAAAATTAAATTCTAATAGTTTTTTGTTGTACTTAGAAATCAACGAATTTGGCTGCTACATTGCATCTTAATATTCAACATAATAGTATCATCATTTTGAAAATAGTGATTTCACTCCAAATATACATCTATAGGCATTTTGTTTTTGTTTTTTTTTCTTTTGTGTGGTTTTCTCTTATCTGCCTTTTTGATTTTTTTTAAATTGTTTATTTATTTATTGGTTTGGATTTTGCTTTTTCATTGAGATGTTAACACAGTGTGTTATATTTAATTATTGCTAAAACAAAGTAAAATTTTAAAGAACGAAATTCGACAATGCGATTAGCTTTTGCATCTGCAAAGTATTATCTTGATTTAATGATAATTAATAATATAAAAAAAAAACAAAACACAGAACAAAAGAAATTGGAAAGATAAAGATATTAATACAAGATAATTTTATTTTCCATTTTTAGCCCAGTAGGCATAAAGGTTTTTAACAACAATAAGAAAGAGAGTTCTGAATAAAAGGTCACATAAAAAATTTAATTTAGCAAAGAGAAACTAAACTGTTTTCACTGTCTACGACTTTTTGGGACAACCCTCGTACATACAGATAAACACACACACACACACACCCTCACCCTCGTGCACATATGCATGTATACTGGTATATATGAAATAATTTAAACAAGTAACAGTAGGATACTTGTACATGTACAATGCTGTCTTGACCTTCACCTAAAGCATCGGGGCACGTACTTCAAAGTCAGCAATTTTCCAGTTAATTAAATTAAATTCTTAGCCCACGTTTATTTTCATTCCGTAGCCTGGTCATAATAACATGAATGAAGATTTGCTGGAGTGTGACACAAGTCCAGCCAGTGTAAACAATGCATTAGAATGAGACGTCAACGGACTGTCGTCATTTGGAATTTAAATTTAACTCTCGTCACTATAAAAGTAATTGATAATCCAAAAAATTGCATTACATATTTTTGGTCTACCACAAAAAATGAGGTAAAAATCTAACCATCATTTTTTTTTCAGAAGTTTTATTTTTTATTTTATTATTATTTTATTTTTTATTTATTATTTTTTTTTTTGCACTTAATATATTTATTGTCAATTTTTGGTCAGCTTTAATGGAAATACAAATTCAAAGTTCAGTTTTGAAATACATTTGAAATATATTTTATTGCATTCGGTTATTTTTTTCATGCAGAGGCTATCATGGGTGTTCTCTGGCCGTAGGGTCGTTTTTGGCATGGATTGCCTTGTGTTCGGCATACACTGTGGACATAGAACGAAAAGAGGTCTGGAGACAGCCTGGAAAAGTTCAACGGCACATGCGCGGGATCTGCCACTTTCATGTTCTAGAGTTGCAGAGGCAAGGGAAATGGTGGATGAATGTCAGTTTGGACAAACCAACTCATGGTTTTCAGGTAGGTCTAACAGTATTACGACATTATAAAATTTCAAAAAACATGCAAACTTTGTAAAATATAGTGAAATACTGCCTAATACATGTTAAATTTTGGTCTAAATAACTTTCATATTTAGTTTACTGATCATTTAATCGCAAAATATCAATGTTGTAGTATACATGGGTAGAGCATTCTTACAAATGCCCAGAAGGCTCACTCGAGTTTCGAAATTTTGAAACTTCGAGTCTCGAATGAGCATTTTGGGCTTTCGTATCAAATCATGCTCATTTAACTTTGTCGCAAAAATATTAAAGCGTGTCTATATTGTATTCCAGTCGTGGATTATGAAGACAGTCCAAGTCTTGGATGAAGGCCGACTCTACCGTTTGCGCAGCAACTACGAGTACCACCCTCGTAACGTGTCTGTAGAATTTATTATTGACTTTTATGGTGCACCACCAAAGGGCGTCTGCAATAGCAACATCAAGGACCCTAATCCGCCGCCGCCTCCCACAGTCCCAGCTTTCGTTCCCCCAAAGAAATGCCCCAAGGCCCAGGAACCCGGATTGACGTCATCTATACAGAAGGAATCCGTGTGGAACGCTGGCGTCACCAAAACTATGACTGCGTTTTGTGATTTTGAATTTGCTAAGGACCTCAAGAAATACTGCATCACTGTCGACTTCGACCAACAAACATCGGCATTTTCCGTAAGGTAGAACTAACAGGTTTTGGTCATAACATTGTATGTTGATGTATTGATTTCTTGAATTATTATTTCAGTTGTATAAAACTAAACGTTTATTTTGTGTTTTCTTGTAGGCTTGGTTTACCAAGACTGTTTACTCAGATCCAGATGGTTTGACATATACTACAAGGAACCGATTTAATGGAAGACATCCCTGGATCGCCTACGCACCTGGGATCCAGTTCAAATTCCAGATGAGCTTTAGGAACAGTGTACCTAACGGCAACTGTACTATATATACATGGGACTGAAACATTTAAGTGTCTGGGAATCATGTGTAGCTATTTGTTGTTCTGTTATTGTGTAAGGGAATAAAATCATTGTGGTGATATTATGTTTTTGTTTTTGTTGAGTTTTTGGTAACGTTGATCAACAGACCATATACATGTATACAAAGTACAAACCAACATGTGTTTTTAAACAGAAACAATACATGTGAACTCTACATTTTATTAGTCATGTAATCATTGGCAATTAAAAATTGTTACTTATAGTGCGAGACACATATTCATATAAAATTTTGACGTATCTTGAACTCTATCTTTTGAGATAAGCTAGAATTGGTTGAAAATAGTCTGACATTGCTTTGCACAGACTAAAAGCGGAAAACAAACTTTTTCTCCGGTTAATGCACGAAACTTTTGTCGAAACATCAGTTATCACATCAATTCGATTAGAAAATTCGCGTGAAAAAGCATATGCTAGAAATTAATTTCTGAATTTTATGGACTGATCCTCAAAGTTGTTTGAAACTATGGCAAGCCCTTTTATATTTATTCGTGAAATAAAAATTTTCTCTCAAGAAGAGAGATAAGCATAGAGAGATATCTCTTTGCATGAATATTAAAATATATTTATTTAGAGAGATATCTCTTTACAAAAGAGATATTTTTTACTTAGAGAGATATCTTTATGAAGAGAATCTCTTTAAGCGAGAGAGATATCTCTTAATAGAGATTGTATAACAAGGTTAAAAGAGATATCCCTAGCTAGAGAGATAGCTCTAAATATTTTCAACAAGAGATATCTTTATAAGCTAAGGCGATATCTCTTTTAATGAAAGAGATTTCTCTTTTCCATTGATCATTAAAATAAAATAATTAATTGTTCCCTTTCACACTAAAGCGAGACAGGAAGTAAAGTCTCTGGAATAGTTTCGATGTTATAAGAACAAAGACTGAGCAATTAGCAATTACCCAGAATAATACATGTACTGTAGATAAAAATGCTATAAATCCTTTACTTGAAACAACAAATAATAATGGTTACTTCGTTGATAAAAATGCTAATATTCAGGAAAACGAAAGTAAGCATATATATATAATCTCAAATGCAATGGACCGAATTTTTAGCTTATAAAATAATCAACTATTTCTAATTTGAGTATTTCCGTCAATAAAAAGCTTACTTCCGGTAAAGGGAGAAGTCATTTGAAATGGAATTGAAATAAAAAAAAATATGAAGAGAGGTATCTCTTTGCAACAAAGAGATATCTCTTTTTGCTTGAGAGATATCTCTTTTAGACATTTTTGAACGATATCTCTTTCACTTTAAGAGTTATCTCTTAAGATAAACTACGAGAGATATCTCTTTCACTTAAAGAGATATCTCTTTAACTTGGAAATATACTTAAGAGAGTTATAGGTGAAATAGATATCTCTTTAACGTTTAGAGATATCTCTTTTCACGAAAGAGATATCTCTAAAGGAGAAAGAGATATCTTTTCAAGTGGAAGAGATATCTCTCAAGTTTAAGAGATATCCTAAGTATTGAGATATCTCTCTATGTTTAAGAAATATCTCTTTTCAGAGAGATATCTCTTAAAAATGAGAGATATCTCTTTAAGTTGAGAGATATATAAGAGATATCTCTGTAAAATGAGAGATATCTGTGTAATTTTAAGATAAATTTTATTTTCCGAATAAATAGTAAAAGGGCTTGCCATATGAAACATATTTACAAATTATCTAAGCGTTCGGGTTAGAACTACAGTACTAATAGGGAATGGGTTGGACTTTAGTTTAAGGTCGTTCCACGTCATCAAAAGAGTGGATGCGGTCTATTAGATACATACTGGACCTTAACATTGTGACCTAGCGGAAAGGTGACTGCTTGATAAAGAAACGTTGAAGCAGTACTCGATATATGACATATTGTAGATAGAGAAATCTTGGAAGATACTTCCCGAAACAAAAACCTACCTACCAGAGGACTGTAATAAAGGCGGTAAAGTATTTGAAATTGTTTTCACATGTTAGGTCAAAGTAGCTTTAATTACGAAAGTGGATTTAAAGTTGAAAATGTTCACACACACATGTCAACGATATTACTGGAAGAAATGACTATGCAAGCCTTTAAATATTCTATGCATAAGATTATCCTAAGAATTAAATGAGTCAAAGTTTAATTTTATCTTGCACCATTTGGAAAAAAAAATGTTATGCGCATTTTAAACACCATCAAGAATTTAAAGTGTAATTGGAATACGGCCCTATGTATTGTCCAAAATTCACAACAATAGTAATATAATTACCCGTTATCAAAATCCTAGATGAAGCTAGTTTTAGTCATTTAAATGATTGTCTTTTATCAAAGACCTTGGACACCCCTAGCCTACTGATGCTTAAGATAGCAAAAAAGACTGACATGGGCATGAACATCGCACACTGCTGCCTTGGCAATGTCTTCGAGTGATGTCATGAACAGTACATCCGGGGTTTTAGTTTTAAATTCAATTCTGTGTACCCAAAAAATTAAAATGGAGGAAATATAAACATAACGTGATTTTTAAAATTCATTTAATAGTAAGTAGAGTTTTTCATGCTAATAGTTGGAGTTCAATACATAGTTTTTATTCTTCAAAGACAAGAGAAGTCTGATTTGTTTTACTGCATTTTCCCCTCTGTATTTATTTGGCATCCAATCTTACCCATATTTAATGTTTTCTGTATGTTCCAATAGGCAAGATCATTAATTGATTTATGTTTGTTTCTTTGGTTTTGGTTTATAATAAATGTCTAACACAGGCGTCGGAAGCACATTGAAAGTGGGAGGGGGCTAACCCAACAAAAAAGGTAAACCTCAATTTTCAATGCCTATATTATGTATATATTTGCAAAAAAAGGGGGTGCTAAGCGCCCCTAGCCCCCCCCCCCCCCCAGGTTCCGACGCTTATGACTGTCTAACATACAAGAAATAAAGAGTTTCAAATACAAGAGAAATAAGATTGCAATGTATCCAATGAATCCATGTTCCAAGTTTGATACATCAGTTGTGTTGAGTAAGAAATTCATGGATATCATGCAGAAAATTAACGAAAACTTTATCATGATATTTGCATTTGAAACATCATATATTGCTACTGATATTGAAAGTGTTTTACATGAACATCATTTTTAACATAGATTTATTAACGTACATGTATTATATGTAATACTTTTAGATATTTAAAACAAGATCGATGGGTTTTTTTGAAGAATTTTGCTCTTTCTGTCAATCATGTTTAGATGATTTTTATTCAAACTCAACATCATTTCTATACTAGAATAGTATTTTTGGATTATGTGTCAGCAATTTTGAGTGTAACAGCGAAGATTGAATACACGATAGCGACTGATGTTAAAGATATTGGTCTATCGAGTTAAAAGATTGATCACTCTGGCACTATGCAGCCAGAAATTTAATACAGGTTACACCACTCTAAAACAAAGGGAGTATGGTCACTGTTAGTTCTTTTGAAAACGTTTCAACCACCCGGGGAAGGCTTTGCTGAAAGCACGCCAAAATGATGTACGGTGATATTATTCAGCATAATTCATTCGTGTGAAATTTGACAAATCTGAGATAAATTATACAATGAGGTTGATTCTATCTTATTCAAACAGTTCAATGATTTCAAAAATTGTTACTAATTTGTATATGACTGAAACGTATGTATTGGATTATTTATATTTATTTTTTTATTTATATTTTATTTGTTTTGGTTTTCATACGTTGTTTTGCTGAAAAATTGATATGCTTTGTCTGTACATGTATTCATTTCCTTCAAGAAGCTTTCTCCCAGAAAAGCATGGGAACAATTCATTTATACTGATTAAAAGATAAAAAACGATCAAAAATTACTTTGGGTTTTGTTTCCTTTCAGAATGAAGGCACGCAGAAGTGAAAGTATACAAAGTTCAATCTTGATTTGAAGAAAAATTACAATGCCAAGCGCAGGGGGTGGTTCGGTAAATTCCGGAACACCAAGACGAAATTCCACCAAAAACAAACCTCCAATAGAATCTGATGATCCGCCACTTGTTCTTCCTCCTCACAGTAGGCCTGAAAGTCCCGACAGTCGAGTGTCGTCTGCTCGCAGCAGACGGACAGATCCCGCTGGTCTTATCACAGATTTAACTCGCTTAAAAGAAATCACACATGATGAAAGAATCCAAAGCCCCGCATACAGAAAACTTTTGGGTGATTTTGGTTCCGAAGAACTTCCACAAACTGATTTTAATGTTGAACAAGAAGGACTTGAACCAAGAGACACTGTGTTCTTTGGGGGTGATATTGAGGGTCAGATTAAGGAAGCTGATGATGAAATTGAGGACATTGAGGACGATCTGGATGAGGAGTTCGGGGAGGACCTCGATAACATCTCCTCCATTGGTTCAGACGAGGAGGCGCGCGCAGCAGAGTATGACACAGATCTGGAAGTGGACGCCGATAGTAGGATTTCTTTCTCACATCTTATCTAGTTTGTTGGGTATGCCAGGGACATCAACGATAGCTGGAAAGTGGGATAAACTACTAGTTATTCCACGTTTCCAACTATCTTTGGTCAATTTCACTGGCTGCCCAGCAAACTAGACAGTTTATTGAATTGACAAAAATGATCTTAAACATCGATACAAATGAGACAATAGCACATGCATATACATGTACTGAGGTTAAAACCATTTCTTCTGACATAAGTTTTTATTGTAGAATTGATCTTCCCAGAGAAGTACGATCATGACACTACTGGAAAATCTGTATATCTAAAGAAATGTGAAGAAATTGGTGTTCAGCCCATTACGTATTTTATAAACCACATGCAAGACACTCAACTTGTTATGAAGCATCACAGTCTTGGTCCCCAAGGAATGAAAGCCATTGCCAAACCACTAGAGGTGGGAAATTAAAGTAATATCATGTGCATACATGTAACAAATATTATGGGAAATTTGAGTTCTGTTAAATGCTAAATATAATGCAGTGTTTTTTTCTTTCCTACAAGACCACCAAGTTACAAAGTGTACGTAAAATTACCAAAATAGTCCTTGAATTTTATAACAAGCGTTAGATCTCATTAAGACGTATATTCTTGCTGAATCCTTCAGTTTGAGAAGGACAGATGATGTGAACGTTGATCAAAGTTAAAAAGTTATAACTGAATATAAAGTAAAACAATATTCTTAAAGATTATTTTTTTCTTTCTAGGTTAATACAGTCATAGAGAAAATTGACCTTGAAGGGAATTACATCCTGGGAGAAGGCGCCATTTACCTGACGAAGGTCCTCAGGGAGAACGTTTACGTCACAGAACTGGTAAGTCAAAGTCAATCACTTAGAGGCACCCACATTACGACATGGATTTAAATTTCGTGGTTTCTGATATCATTTTATGATTGTAGATTTTATGTGATAACAAAATCGGCAACGATGGAGCGCAAGCATTGTGTGAACTTTTGTCCGAAAATAAGACAATCATTCACTTGAACTTAACAGGTATGACAAATGGTCATTTTACTGTACTTTTAAGTTTCTACTATTCACTAACTCTGACTGTTTTAGACAACTTTCTTCTGAATTTTCAGGAAATGATATCGAGGATTCTGCCGCTGAAGCGTTCTATGAAATGTTAACGGTATGCAGCAATTTTTCTTTCATACATTGTAAATCCATTTATCCCTTATCACTTCGAATGCATAAACATCTAATACATATTTTTCTCAAATTTATAGAGAAATGCCTCGATCAAGACACTAATGCTTCGCCACAATAAGTTTGAAGATGTTGGAGCCCAATGGTTTCACGATTCCATGAATGAAAATGTCACATTAGAGACTTTAGATTTAAGTTTTAATCGATTCCAAAACAAAGGTTGTGTTCTTCTTGCACAAGCTCTCAAGGTAATCGATAATCAAGTCAAGATGAATTTCTTGTCTGGAGACTTATTTTCGTTTTTTGACTTTTGCTTGAAACATGAAATATAAATAAATTTATCGGTTTATTTCTTCAGGACAATGTTGGGCTGAAATATCTAGACATTAGTATGAATGGTTTTGGTCTAGAGGGCGCTCGAGCTCTAGAGGGCGCTTTGAAGGAAAATAAGTACCTTACAGATCTGAATATTAGTTACTGTCGGATCCCGGACGAGGCTGCAGTTCATATTGCTGGTGGTCTACAGCATAACGACACCCTGGAAAAACTGAACGTATGTCAGAAATCTGTGCAAAATCTGTATTGTATTCAAAGTATTGTCAAAATCTTATGATTGCTTATTTGGCAAATAAAACAATTCCTCCTAAATTAATCCGTCACTGCAGATAAAATCATCGTTGGTCTTTTCTATATGCTGTTGGAAGCCACTACTTTACTCTCTAATGCAAATTTGAAAGATGTGCTATGATTTGACAAACAAGCATATGTCATCAAACATTAATCCAATCAGAACTTATCATACACACATATACTTTACTTTCAAACGCAAACGGTGTGCTTCCAACTTTTATCATTATTTTTACAGATTGGGTATAATCCCCTCCAAGAAGATGGAGCGGAGAAAATTTTGACAGCTGTTCATGTAAACCAAAGCAGTGTTTTGAAACTCTTAGACTTTGGTGTAAGTAAATTATTACGTAATAAAACTTTTACGTAGGTTGAATTCAGCTGCACTCGACATTCAAAGTCAAAAAATTTTTCGCCTTTGATCTTCAAATACATCACAAAGTACATGTATATTATTTTTACTGATATTAATATATCGATATATCATTGTGATCATTTTCTGCCCTAGATCCTCATGGTGAAAAAATCGTTCAAAGAGCTTGAGGGACAGTTGGCGGAGGAGAGGGGTCTGAAAACGATCTATGGTGGGGTTTTACCTGACTGCCCACGCACGAAACTCAGAGGGGAAATCGACGCCTTGAAAATGTTTATGAGAGATCCTATGGCCAAGCTAAAAGCCTACGTAGAAAAAGAGGGGTACCGAATGGTGGATCTTTTGAAATCTTTCGATAGAGATCAGAGTTTTACTATTTCATTGGAGGAATTGAAGGAGGGTGTTAGGGTACGATTTTATTATTTGACAACTATCATTCTTAGTACAACCAGACCATATAGTCATAGATTACTAAAATAAATCTAAAATACATATGTGTTGTCCTAAATAACTTTGGTTATACAAATTACTCCAACTCTTAAAAAACATTTCATTTTTGTATTTTACATTTCATGTCAAATAGAAATGTTGTTTTTATTTGATAATTCAAATTTGAAACTAAATAGTAATTTCAAATAATGTATAATTCATTCGTCTCGGTTCTATAATTATGTTTGTACTTGTTGATAGAGGTGTAATATTGATCTTACTGACCCCGAAATCTCCAAGCTAATGAAACAACTGGACAAGGATGGCAATGGTGAAATAGACTTCAGGTAAAACCGGTTTTCTATTATAATTTCATTTCCTTTCATAATATTATACTGTTCCTTCCCTTATTATTAAGATAGTGTCATAACTAGTAATTGTAGAACATGATTTCGGTCAATTACTGTAATAATTTTAGAAGGATCATTAATTTTTTCCACATTAATTTGACAACATGAAAATGATTGTCAGTTGTTGAATATAAGAGCATTGGTTTATTATTCAGTATTAAAGAATCCACAAAGAAGTTGTTTTTTCAACACATTGTATTTTGTTAAATGTTATGCATTGAAACATTTCCATTACCTTCTTTTTCAAAAAAGTGAGCTTCTTCAAGGAAACGATGAGTTAATTTTGAAGAAAAGAGCAGTGAAGAAATTCATGCAGGCAAACGACCAAAAGAAATCATTGGAAGAAACTCATGCTGAATCCAAAGCCGAACCGAAATCTTATATGTCCATGTTGGATAGCTAGTCATCTTACAGAAGATTTTCGATGAAACATACTTTCTTTAAGTTCTGTCAAGAAAAATGCAGGATCGAATATTCAGAATCCGAGAGAATGAAATATTTACTCTTCACATAAACATTGCATAAGCAGATTTTGATATTTGCAGGAAATGAAATCTTTAAAAAATGTTAATTTCTTTGATAAAAAAAAACCAAGCAGATGAAACGTTTACTGTGGAGAGTAGAGAGGCGGGAAGAATTAATTTGGCAAATTCTAGATATAGTCAAAACTTAATTTTCCAGAAATCTGGGTCACTGCTTTATACAGTGTCTTTAATTATGCATATTTTTTAGCAGCATAAAATAGTTACCTTAATATTTCATTTTGTTTATATACATAACTCATTACAGTATTTATCCTTGTATTGGTGTTGAACAAGGTGTGCCATTGTGCCATTTTGTTTTTGTTGCATTTTGTACATAGTGATATTCTTCTGTGATATAGTATGAGCGATGCAATGTGATGATTATATCAAATGATCATAACTGTTTGTGTATGCAAATAAGTTGTAAATTATCTTACTTTGAATTAAACAAATCATTTGACTTAAATCTCAATGTTAATTGAGAAATACATGTAAATACTAGAACTGATTCTTTATATTCTTCATGAATATTTGAATTTGGTTTCCCATTTGCTCAAGCGTATAGAAATTGCTAAACAATATTTAAATAAATCTGATTTTTTTTGGGTTAACTTTTAACTTGTGTTTTGATTATAAATTTTTGATGTACATGTACTAAAAATGCGAACGAACAATTTGTTGAATGATGATCTCAAAGAAAGGGGTGACTTGAACAGTAATATTTTTACAAATGTACTCAGAATAAACTTAAATAGGCAAGCAAAATGTACCTCCCATGTCTCTTGAATTATACAGGGAGCAAAGAAACTACTCGCTCTATCCTTTGTACACTAACTATCCTCCATAAATAACTATCCATCTACCAAAAGGGCCACTTTCCAATTTTCCAACTGAATCCATCTTGTTCTTAATTCAATGTTGAACAGTCTTTCTACAGTGACTGTCTTGTATACGTACATGTAAGTATCCTGTCCTCTCTGGCTGTAGACATTCTGGGACGCCCTGGTCGTGGAGCATTAGCATGTGAACCCGTCTGGCATCTTCCGATTGCTTTTCTGTCTTTCTGGGGAAAAGAGAATAATCTTTTAAGTTTTCTTACATTGACTGTACTTTTTAGCAAACAAATGAAAATAGGAAGTAAAATAAAGTGACCACTAACCTTGTAGCTCGGAATCTTCTGTCTGTCTCTGACAATGCCATTTGTTGTTCATATAGCAAGTTACAAAGGATCCCATTTTCTAGCGAGTTGTCGGCCCTCTTCGGAAAAAGTATCATTTTGACTCATAATATGTAAAACATTATGCTTTAAAGCCTTTGCTGATTACAAGAACTTAATTTATTAATTTCCTTTTATTAGCTCACCTGAGCAGAAGTCTGTCGTCGTCGTCGTCGTTGTTGTCGTCGTTGTCGTAAACTTTTCACATTTTCATCTCAAGAACCACAGGGTCAATTTCAACCAAACTTGGCACAAAGTATCCCTGGGTGAAGGGGATTCAAATTTGTTCAAATGAAGGGCCACGCCCTTTTCCAAGGGGAGATACATGTAATAATGAATTAGTAAAAAATTAATGGCATTTTAAAAAAATCTTCTCAAGAACCACTGGGCCAGGAAAGATTTAACTCAGGTGGAATCATCCTCAGGTAGCGTAGATTCAAATTTGTTCAAATAATGACCCCCGGGGGTAGGGTGGGGCCAAAATGGTCGATCAAAGTTTTACATAGGAATATATAGGAAAAATCTTTAAAAATCTTCTTCTCAAGAACCACTGAGCCAGGAAAGATGAATCTCATGTGGAATCATCCTCAGGTAGTGTAGATTCAAGTTTGTTCAAATCATGACCCCTTGGGGTAGGGTTGGGCCAAAATGGTCGATTAAAGTTTTATATAGGAATATATAGGAATATATAGGAAAAATCTTTAAAAATCTTCTTCTCAAGAACCATTCAGACAGGAAAGATAAAACTCATGTGAAATCATCTTCAGGTAGTGTAGATTCAAATTTGTTCAAATCATGATCCCTGGGGCTAGGGTGGGGCCATAATGGCCGATCATGTTTTACATAGGTATATATAGGAAAAATCTTTAAAAATCTTCTTCTCAAGAACCACTGGGCCTGGAAAAATGAAACTCATATGGAATCATCCTCAGGTAGTGTAGATTCAAGTTTGTTCAAATGATAACCCCCAGGGGTAGGGTGGGGCCAAAATGGCTGATCAAAGGAATATATAGAAAAAATCTTTAAAAATCTTCTTCTCAAGAACCATCGAGACAGGAAAGATGAAACTCGTGTGAAATCCTCAGGTAGTGTAGATTCAAATTTGTTCAAATCATGACTCCCGGGTCTAGGGTTGGGCCAAAATGGCCGACCAAAGTTTTACATAGGAATATATAGTGAAACCTTTCAAAATCTTCTTTTCAAGTACTTCAAAGCCATAATTAGTGATATTTATATGGAATCATCCTCAGGTAGTGTAGATTCTAGTTTGTTCACGTCATGACCCCCTGGGGGTGGGGTTGTTAAAATTCTAGCCCCCCCCCACGTCAGTTAACTTTCAGTTCTGATTTGATACGTGCTTTTTCCTAACTGATGTACTCAGGTGAGCGCTGTGGCCCCTGGGCCTCTTATTTTGATTAATTTTCTTTTACATATTTAAAATCAGGCAATTAAAATGAGATAATTAATAAGCTACTGATTCCAATTATCAAAAAAAGTAGTTAAGTAGAAAAAAAAATCCTAAAGTTTTTTTTTACAAATTTTTTTTAACGAATCATATTTTATGAGCCATAATTAAAGTTATATCTCTTTACTGAATACAGTACTCACATTTTACACAGAAAATCATAATTTTTTCTTTGAAAGATATCAAAATAACACAGTGGACACTTATTTATTGAGGATAGTTTAAATTATTTAATGAGCATTTAAATAATTTATTCCCATATCTTATTTTAATTCTAAATTTTAACATAGGTAAAGCGGATCGTTTGGTCCCAGTTCCAATCATTTAATATAAATTGAAAGGATTGTTAGGTACTGGTACATGTAGATGCTAATATTTTCACATGTAATTAAACCCCAATACTGATACGCTTGATAACGATGACCGCTGAAATTAAAAGCAGTCATGCGGTAATTGAATGTTACAAAATCTTATTGAAAACCTAAAAATATCCCTAGAATATTGGACATTTTTACGTAAAAATATTCGCATGAATAATAATTAACCTGACCTTGAACGTTGTATGAGTGAACTAGACACGAACATAAAACACGTAGGAGTTAACAACAGATATCTGCAAATTGATTACAAAGCAACAAGAAAATATCTCTACTATAATAGATAGATAGGAAATAATGGACTGAAGTTTATGGTTTCTTAAAAGGGATATAAGTCCTGATGGTTGTCAGCTAATTTGGTTTTATCAAACTTTCGTCAGAAAGTATAGATCTTTATTTTCTGGCAAGTTTTTAATAAATTTACAAATCAAAAGTTTGATTTCCAGTTTGTGCATTCTCATTAGAAATAAAAAAAAAATTGGTGGTGTGTTTAATTTAAGATAATTAAAAAACAAAGGTAATCAAAGATTACAAGCTTACCTCGACGAATGTTATCTGTAAAGTAAGGCAACCATCACATAGTTTTGGAGTTAGTGTCCATCCCAAAATCAAAGTTTACTTTAAGTAGGACTTAAAGTTACTTGAAAAATGGACATCCTCGCAAAACTTTAACCTGTTCACTAATCAAGAAAATGTCCGTATATTCCAACTTCCAAATAAATCTGAAATTATCCACACCTATCTGCATCGTTCATGCAAGTCTAATCATCAATTCTTTTAAATTTTAATTTTTGGAAGATTTACTCTTTATATTACGGTGGTATATTCAGGACACGCAATAATTTTTTTTTCAATACGAGAAAAAAAATTATCTTGTGAAAACGAGATATTATCTTGTGAAAACGAGATATTATCTTGTGAAAACGAGATATTATCTTGTGAAAACGACATAATATCTTGTGAAAACGACATAATATCTTGTGAAAACGAGATATTATCTTGTGAAAACGAGATATTATCTTGTGAAAACGACATAATATCTTGTGAAAACGACATAATATCTTGTGAAAACGAGATATTATCTTGTGAAAACGAGAAATTATCTTGTGAAAACGAGATATTATCTTGTGAAAACGAGATATTATCTTGTGAAAACGACATAATATCTTGTGAAAACGAGAAATTATCTTGTGAAAACGAGATATTATCTTGTGAAAACGACATAATATCTTGTGAAAACGACATAATATCTTGTGAAAACGAGATATTATCTTGTGAAAACGAGATATTATCTTGTGAAAACGAGATATTTTTCTGTCTGAGCCTCATGCATTTGATTTATCTATTTTCATTTCCTTTCATGGAGAAACATCGAGGTTTACGGTGGTATATTTAGGACACACAATAATTTTTTTTTTAATACGAGAAAAAAAAATTATCTTGTGAAAACGACATAATTATCTTGTGAAAACGAGATATTATCTTGTGAAAACGACATAATGTCTTGTGAAAACGAGATATTATCTTGTGAAAACGAGATATTATCTTGTGAAAACGCGATATTATCTTGTGAAAACGACATAATTATCTTGTGAAAACGAGATATTATCTTGTGAAAACGCGATATTATCTTGAGAAAACGAGATATTATCTTGTGAAAACGACATAATATCTTGTGAAAACGAGATATTATCTGGTGAAAACGAGATATTATCTTGTGAAAACGCGATATTATCTTGTGAAAACGACATAATATCTTGTGAAAACGAGATATTATCTTGTGAAAACGAGATATTATCTTGTGAAAACGAGAAATTATCTTGTGAAAACGACTTATTACCTTGTGAAAACGACTTAATATCTTGTGAAAACGACATAATATCTTGTGAAAACGAGAAATTATCTTGTGAAAACGAGAAATTATCTTAACTTGTGAAAACGACATAATATCTTGTGAAAACGACATAATATCTTGTGAAAACGAGATATTATCTTGTGAAAACGATATAATATCTTGTGAAAACGAGATATTATCTTGTGAAAACGAGATATTTTTCTGTCTGAGCCTCATGCATTTGATTTATCTATTTTCATTTCCTTTCATGGAGAAACATCGAGGTTGACGGTGGTATATTTAGGACACACAATAATTTTTTTTTTAATACGAGAAAAAAAATTATCTTGTGAAAACGACATAATTATCTTGTGAAAACGAGATATTATCCTGTGTAAACGACATAATATCTTGTGAAAACGAGATATTATCTTGTGAAAACGAGATATTATCTTGTGAAATTACGAAAACGATATTATCTTGTGAAAACGAGAAATTATCTTGTGAAAACGAGATATTATCTTGTGAAAACGAGATATTATCTTGTGAAAACGACATAATATCTTATGTGAAAACAAGATAATATCGTTTTCAAAAGATAATGTATCGTTTTGAAAACGAGAATTTTTCGTTTTCAAAAGATATTATCGTTTTCAAAAGATAATAAGTCGTTTTCACAAGATATTATGTCGTTTTCAAAACGATAATATCTCGTGAAAACAAGATAATAAGTCGTTTTCACAAGATATTATCTCGTTTTCACAAGATAATAAGTCGTTTTCACAAGATATTATCTCGTTTTCACAAGATAATTTTTCGTTTTCACAAGATATTAAATCGTTTTCACAAGATAATTTCTCGTTTTCACAAGATATTATGTCGTGAAAACGAGATAATATCGTTTTCAAAACGATAATATCTCGTTTGAAAACAAGATATTATTTCGTTGAAAACAAGATATTATGTCGTTGAAAACAAGATAATATCTCGTTAAAACGAGAAATATATCGTTTTCAAAAGATATTATCGTTTGAAAACGATAATATCTTCGTTTTCACAAGATAATTCTCGTTTTCAAAAGATAATAAGTCGTTTTCAAAAGATATTATTATCTCGTTTTCACAAGATAATAAGTCGTTTTCACAAGATAATATCTCGTTTTCAAAAGATATTATCTCGTTTTCAAAAGATATTATCTCGTTTTCACAAGATAATAAGTCGTTTTCACAAGATAATATCTCGTTTTCACAAGATATTATGTTGTGAAAGATAATATCTCGTGAAAACGAGATAATATCTCGTTTTCACAAGATATTATCTCGTTTTCACAAGATATTATCTCGTTGAAAACGAGATATTATGTCGTTTTCAAAGAAATATCTCGTTTTCACAAGATATTATGTCGTTTGAAAACGAGATAATATCTTGTTTTGAAAACGATAGTAAGTCGTTTGAAAACGAGATATTATCTCGTTTTCAAAAGATAATATCTCGTGAAAACAAGATAATATCTCGTTTTCACAAGATAATAGGTCGTTTTCACAAGATATTATCTCGTTTTCACAAGATAATTTCTCGTTTTCACAAGATATTAAGTCGTTTTCACAAGATAATAAGTCGTTTTCACAAGATAATTTCTCGTTTTCACAAGATAATATCTCGTTTTCAGAAGATAATATCTCGTTTTCACAAGATAATATCTCGTTTTCACAAGATATTATCTCGTTTTCACAAGATAATATCTCGTTTTCACAAGATAATAAGTGGTTTTCACAAGATATTATCTCGTTTTTACAAGATAATATCTCGTTTTCACAAGATAATTATGTCGTTTTCACAAAATAATTTTTTCCTGGTATATAAGTAAAAAATAATTGCGTGTCCTAAATATACCACCGTATTATATAGAGTTAATCTTTCAAAAATTAACCTGCTTACTCATAATGAAGTGTATTGGAGATTCAGCATCCGAAGCCTGTTTGCATGTGACCATCCATAGATACATCATCCATGCTAATTTAGTTTAAGTACTGCTGAAGTTCAATCATCTGGAGAAAATTGCACTGGTCAGATCCAGTATCTGAAGCAGGTAAGTGTATATCCTTAGATGCATCATGTATGAAAGTTTGGTCTTAGTAGGGCTTTTAGTTACCTAGGAATGGTTTTGCTCTTTAAACTTTAACCGGGACGTCAACTCTAATGATGACATGGAAGCATACTTCTAGTATCATTCATTGTTCCAGTCAAGGTTTCAGAAGCTGTAATGTCATCTAATGAATTACCAGATAAATGTTTCAGGAGCAGATACATATTTTAGTGCAGGTTAACATTTTTGGAGCAGGTCAAATTTCTAAGTTACTATTACATGCAGTCCTATATTCACCAAACTTCCATGGATGATACATCTATGGATGCACATTACCAGGTTTGCTTTCAATGCTATATCTGGATGACATTTTCCGAATGAATGCCAAGGCTAAAATATTTGAAGTAGGTTCATTCTTACGTATAATAAGCCTTGACCAAACTTGCACTGATGATGCAGTACCAGAGTTGCTTCAGATCCCGGAACTCACCTACATCATTCCAGATCAGGTTTAAGTTTTTTGGAACAAGTTCATTCTTAAGCAATTACTTGCCCTATCTTGACCAAACTTACATGTACATGGAAGATGCACCAAGGTGTGCACTGCCAGATTGGTTTCAAATACTATACGTGACCTGCATTTTTATTATGAGTGGCCAGGTTAAAGTTTTGGGAAAGACCTATCATCAAGAAGAAATCGTTAGGCCCATCCTAACCAAACTTTCATGGATAATGGATCAAGGTATGAGCACTCTTAAACTTGCTTTAGATGCTGAACTTTATTTACCTTTTCTGAATGACTGAATAGAGTAAAGATTTAAATAAGTCTAGTCCCCAGTATATGAAAGTCCTATCAGATGAAAATTGCATAAATGTTGCATCTTGGGATGCACACTTCAAGATTATTTTAAGTGTGGGGCTTTGTGTTACTAAAATTCAAACATTCAATGAGATGAGTTCTGTAATCTGAGATGTACTTGTTTTCTCTACTATGTCTTTCTTAATATTTAAGTTTTTGTTAAATTAATAGATGTTATAATATTATAAATTTATTTTAGAAAAGCTTTAACTTAAATAACTGTTTTGGGTTACCTCTCTTGGTTTGTTCATTTTCAAGAACAGCAGTAATTTCTTAATTTTATTTTTATTAAACGTAAAATATTCATAATTCCTTTTCCCAAGAGAACCTAAATGATATTCAATTGAGTAAATGTTGATAAGGGCTTCCAGAATACTTTTTTTATTAATAAATGCTTTCAATTATTCATATCAAAGTCGACATGTATCACCTTTTTCGTTCCGTGCATTGAAGTACTGCAAAAAATCCTAAAAAACATTTAATTTCTTATGATTCATCTTGTAACAGCGTGTACAGAATGCAAATCAACAATTCTTCTACTCAAACTTTTGTAACAAATCTTAAAATACTCCTCAAATAAGTTTCAATTCGAGTATTAATTTTACCTCAAGTTGGAAGATTTAATTTAATGAAAAGAATTGAGGAATTTAATTATGGCCTCGATATAAGAATTTAAATTGATATACTAGTATCTTCCCCAAATATTCTAGATCCCTAATACAAATGAATGAAGTTTTCTACTTAAAGAAACTAATTTGATACAAATTACTCAATATTATTTCTTAAACTTGAGCATTGGGAGACGAGATTGCATCTTGAAATATTAAAAAAGGAAAGGGTCTTCAGATTAATAATCATAGTTATTGAGATCTTTCTATCAACTAAATATTTCACTTGGCTTTTAATCTAAATAATAAAACAGTTACAATGGGGGTTTTTGTAACGGGCACTCCATATTTCAAAGTTCAAAACTAAGAAAAATGAATTACTGATGTTTATTTATGGAAAACATTAAATTAACAATAGAATGCCAGTTGAAATGAATATTTAAAATGCATTTGTTACAAACAAAAATGGTAAGGCTGCGATGACAAAATAAAACCTTCATTAGCACATTAAGCACCGTATGAAATAAAATACAGCATTTCATTCCACTTAGACAAGAAAACCAAACATGGATGCGTTTTACGCGTGATGTACAATGTCGGTGCATCGAAGGCCAAAAGTTCCAACTTCGTTGTCAAAGTAGTGACCAGAAATCTTTAAAGTGTTTCAACCACCGATGAATTCTTAACATACATGCGCTGATCTAAAGGAGACAAGGGGTTGGAGTTCCCATTCCCATGGGATTTTTCAGAATTTATAAAGTTCTATGTAGGGTAAGGACAAAATAACCTTGGAACTCATAAGGAAACAAAAACTCCTCGTAAAATGGCAAGGAGAGTTATTAATCAGGAGGAACTTATACAGAAAGGTCCATCCAGGACTTTTTCAGATTTTGGCGAGTTTTTTTTTTTACTTTTTATGGTGATCAAAAAATTACGAGACCAACATTTGTTTGAGTGGGACCCCTCGAAAAATAATCTAGATCTGCGCATGACACGGGTCTGAAACCAAACAACTTAATTGCCAGTGTTCTGGACATAACAGTTCTGAGACGATGCACACCATTCTGTCATTTCTTTTTCTTCTTTTCTTTCTTTTTTGGTTTGTCTTTGGCAGACTTCGGCTTGTTGCCTCCATCTGTACTGACTCCTGTATCAGTGCTTGAAGCCCGGCGTCTGGCAGACGACACGCTTTTCTCGGATTTTTCTGAAGAGAAACTCACTACAGACGCAGATCGGGGTTCCGGACTGAATGGAGTTTCCGATCCATTTTCGTCCAGTATCCGACTGCAATGTAGAAATCATTGTAGTTATAAAACAGAAAATTTCGTTTTGAAGGCTTGGAATCCAGAAAGGGTCATGTAGTTCATTATAGCATTATCGAGCATCGACTGAAGGATATCGTCATTGCAATATCACGTCATCACACTATTGACCCAAAACTCAATGGTGCGATTGTGAACTACGTGATCCTATCCGGATTCCATATGACAGAAAAAAATGTTGATTCTGAATTTTACAAAAAATGCTTACTTGTAGTTTATGAAACCATCAACGTCTAAAGTTCGTATTAAAACAGTCAATTGTTGATCTGGTATGTCTATCCCAGAACCCTGTAAATACAGAAAAAGGCCATAAACTTTTATTCAACTAAAATTATATCTAATGAAACTCCATTTTGAGGAATGGCTATAATTTGTGTTTACATTACATTGGTACAATGTGGTTATCACAAAGAAATGTTTAACTTTACATCCAATTTAAAATCCATTCCCTTGCTTACAAAATATATCTGTAAATTTATGTGTCTTGTGTGCGGTAGATTCTATTAGCGACATTGTTTTTGACGAAAATACCAAAAGAAAAAGAAAAACCGTGATCATTAAGTAGTTTCGACATTAAACATATATATACATGTACTTTAGCTCCCTTCCCTTCTAAAAAAAATCAGAATTAGTCAAATTTTAATGATTCATTGAAGTATTTGTATTAAAAAATAGGTTTGATAATTGGCATTGTTTACCTTTACGTAGTTACAGATATAAGTAAAACAAATCTACGTATTTTAATTCCCTCGTCAAAACAATGTTAATCACCGCTCAAACTATCGCTCTTGTTTCGGGCGTCATTTTACGGATCATACTGGGATTAAGGAGAAACGAAGATTGGAATCAAGGAAGATTTTTTAGGCTTTGCGCAAATCTTATAAGTAAATCGCATTAGTATAATAATGTCAGTGGTTTTTTTTCTATTTCCCGTTAACAGCCTTGAATTTTCTTTAACCTAAACGTGTCCTCGTTTAAGTGGTTACACGTGAATATGAAAAACAGTTGTTTTAATATGATTAATGGCTGGCACTAATTCAAGTGTAAATTTCTAATAATTTTTTTTTTAAATTAAAAATAGGAAATTATTTTTTTCACCATTCTGTCTTTTGAAAAAATATCAAGTTATAATTTATTGAAAATTTGAAATCAACAGGCGAAGGAATCGATACGCGTACATGTCTGAATATTTAGCATACAATAAAAGTAAACAATAAAACCCTACATCTAACCAATTTCCATGCCACCCCCTTGACTCTTTCTAAAACCATTTAGAAGAAAATTAACAACAACAAACAAACATACAAATGAACAAACAATACATATCAACACACAGAGGCAAAAAAATCAACAACAGTCTCAAACAAATCAAATTCTCTCAGAATTTTACCTTTATAAGATCTTTAAATTCGGCCGCGTCAAGACGTAAGCGGTGTCCGCCATTGAAAACATCGTGAAGGTCGACACCTGAAAACTCGGCATACTTTTTGAAAGTCTCTATAGGATCCCTTCGGAAGGCACTAAGTCGTGCATACGTGCCATTTTTAGGGTGCATCTCGGGTAAAATGCCCTCATGTTTGATTTTCAAATTTCTTTGCTCTCGAAGTCTATCTTCGATTGTAGCAAATTCTGTTTTCACGAGCATGTTCTGTAATACAAAGTATATATATACACGTTATCCTATCCCTCCAAAAATAAATCATAGGCGAATCGGTTAATGGGTGTTAGACCTTTTTGGTTTTTCAATTTTGTTGATTTTACACAGAAAAATAAGTTTAAAACGGCTCTAAAAATTGCAAGTTATAACGAACGAACCTTCCTGTCTTTTCAAAGTCATAAGTTTTGCCACTCTAAATTTTTCAACTTTAGTTGATATGATATGCCACTATCATTCAGATATACTTACACTAAAATCTAGATACTTTATTGCACTGTTTTCATTTGAATCTACGGCCTCAAGAATCAACATTGCCCCTTCGCCTTCAAAGGGGTTGTTGCCAACCTACAATATTTAATTATTACATGTAAATCAGTCAAACAATAATTATCAAACACAATTTTTAGACTCGATTTTCTTTGTATATATCATTGAAAAAAAAATTAATGAAGGTATCATGGCCGATTTGTCTAAACATTTTTACCTTCAGATGTTGAAGAGCATCGTTTTCTTTTAATCCCTCGGCTAAAAATGTAGCACCTTCCATTTGGATTCTGTTAAAACTTATATCTAGTTCTCTAAGTGTTCTGTTTTGTTTTAAAGCCTTCATCATTGCTTCTGATCCCGCTTTAGCTAGACCAGCCATTTGAAAACGGAATTTCTTCAAACCGACATTTTCCTATATCAATGAAAATCAAATTACATTTAAAATATGAATTAATATAAAAATGATGGATATAGTTTATAAGCAAGATCATGATTTTTATAATAAAGTGAACTTCTTGACTAGGTTGCTTAAAACACTGGTTAAATCTAAACGCCGGATAAGGGATTTAACCAGCGGTTAGCGTTAACCAGTGTTTTGAGCAACTGCTGTACTAATTCAGCAATACTTTCAGAAGAGAATTTGTGGATGTAACCTACTTGAAGGCCTTCAGCAATGGCCACGGCGCCTCGCGTTTTGAAATGGTTCCAGCTGAGGTCCAATATTTCGAGTGTATCATTTTCTTGTATTCCATCTTTCAGGAAACGGGCACTTGTTTCCTCTAGTCTGTTGTTAGCGAGAATGAGCTCTTTCAATGTCTGATTGCCCTGTTTATGATCGAAAATTAATATTAAGATTTTAGTACACAATTCTTTCAATGAGTTGAAATCGTCTTAGATTGGACAATATAAAAATGAAATATTACTTATTTTATCATTGAAAAATTAAAAATGCATGGTTTTATATTTTTCGCCAATCAATTTCATACTTCTGCGAATAAAAGACCCATTTTATCGACACAATACTAAGAGGTTTATTTTCGTTTGGTGGGCAATGTTCACTGATTGTTTTACTTCTTGATGTTGTTTGGCGGACATTATTTTCAATTTGTCCGCTTCGATTCGTCTTGGGGTCTTACCTTTAGTACATCGTAAAAACTTTGCCCTGCAGGATCCCCTATTTCGTTCGCTGAAAATGAGCAAATTTTGAAAAGGTGTTAAAAGCTTTCTATACCTTTCTCAAACAATGCCATATCGAATTCTAATATCTCGCAGTATAAATGTGTACCTGTCATATCCACTTTTAGTAGATTCCTATTGCTCTTCAGAAACTGGCACATCGAAATGGCACCTTCGGTTCCGATTTTATTTTCGCTAAGCACCTGTTGAAATGAATTATTAAAATACATGCAATAACAGTCAATAAAACTTCCATATATTCTTAATTTAGTTTAGACTTCATTATTGATTCATTTTTCAGTGTCTGTCATGCAGTTTTGTATATCGCTCTCCTGTGGCTACACTTGAGACCCATTTGTTTTTTCTTTAAATTGTCCCATTTATCACCTGGGATAATTGTTAAATATTTCCTTACCACTTCAGTTAGGAATAGGTTCTCTCTCAGGACTCGACACAGACACCGAGCCCCGGTCCCATCAATCCCGTTCCCCTCCAGGTTCAATATCTCAATATTCGTGTTGGTCTACAAAAATTTAAATAAAAGTTTAGCTAAGAGCTAACAGCATTTTTATTGTACATGTATAATGGTTCCTCGCTTGTCATTTTTAACTTGATGAAGTCCATACGCTAAATTACATACACTGGCAACATTTCAGGTTGACGGTAGAAATTTTATTAAAGCTAGAGGTACTGTGAGCGATGAGCTCACTAAATGATACCCCCCGCCTCCCATATGGTTATAACTGGTGAAATAGTCCATCTTTTCCTGTGGCCGGGAAACCCAAAATATCTGTCGGATCAAAAAGTAAAATAGGAGGTGCACAATGGCAATATGTAATAAAGATTCTGTGAAAGTTTCATCAAATTTCATTCTGTGGTATGAGAGGAGTTGCGGATAAGAGATGGGTACCCCAAAGCGTAACAGACGGACGGACGTACAGACGGACGGACGGACGGAAATACCGATTACTATATACCCCCACTTTTCAAGCGGGGGGTATAATAATTGATAACTTTTATTGGGCCATCTTTAAAATAGTGTTCACTTTGCTTGCCCTCTTCCGACTCAGGGTAAAATTATTAGGTCGTTATGTACATGTAGGAAAATCTAAGTTCAACATATTTGATCACGGGACTTGCATACAATTTTTTTGAAAAAAATGAAAAGTTGGAACATATGTTTCAGTCAATTTATATTTATTATTTTTGAAGAATAATCTATTTTAATGCTAATCAACAATTATTTTACCACAAACCAAAGATGGATAATACAAAATTCATTAAACATTTGATTACCATTTTTTCCCCTCAAAATTATATTTACTTAGTTATAATTCATATATTCAGATTAACCATTTGCAGTATGTATGGATTCCTATAAAATCAATATCACTTTTAACTCATTTCTCTTTTGTAAAATTATTTTCCTACAGGTAATATTATTGCATCACAGTGACAGGGTAATTCTTGTCCTTTAGCTATTGGATATGCAAATGTGTCTTTCTCATTTCTGAACATTAAAGAAAGGAAGTGCTTAAATCACTCCCGTAGGGTAGTTAAAAAACGTAAACTCTTTGCGCAGAGAACAGAATTTTTTTTTCATCTAAAGTTAACTTCCCATGGGATAAGCTTCAAGAACAATTAAACTTGATTTATATATACAGCAATTACTTGATTTCAGATGATTGTTTCCCCTTACAATAAAATTATGGTCTTTCAAGGGGGAATTGACGTTTTAAAAAATGCTTAATAAATTTTTCAAAGTAAAATGTTTCTGTTTTTGAATTTCGTAAATATTATGGAATGCAAGAGAAATCTGGCAGCTCTTATTAGAACTAAACTTTTCTCTGCCAAGTTTACTTATTCCCTTTGGCACCTGCTCGCTGAAAATCTTCCAACGAAGGTTAAGACTCTCAAGTTTTTAAAAAAAAAAATAAGTCTATACGTAGACAATTAATATTGATACGTAAGGCACAGGGGTTTAAATCAATTAAAGGATACTTGAAACTATGTGCATCACAATAACCGTTTTTAATATATTGAAGGTACGAGTCAACATTGGTCACCGCCCCACTAAATGTAATACTTTGTGTCAATATTGAACAAATTGTCATACTAAGCATTAAAGGCTGATATAATTCATGTAATTTACCTCTAAAGGAAAAGATATGGCTTTTACACTTTCTGCACCGAGTCCATGAAACCGGAGTTTTAGTTCTTTGTTTTCTAAGTTTTTCACAAAATATGACACGGGATTTATTCCAAGGTCAAAACATTTTTTGATGTATTTAGTCTTTCCCGTTGTGTCGTGGTCGACTGTTTTAGGATTTAGAAGAGCTGCAAAATGAAAGAAACTTATTTAAATTTCTTCACATTCGTTTAAAATAATCCCTTATTCTCTTTTAATACTGTCAAGCGTATTCCTTTTTCAAATATTTGCCAGAAGACTGAATTTCAATTCAAATTTTCGCTATTTCTTGGTTTTAAGGAAGAGAGATGCATTCTTAAAGAAATGCATTTAATTTACAAGATGTATATTTTCTTGAAACAAACTTCTGTTCTTTATAAAAAGGTTCAAAAACACTTACATTCAGTGTCTATCTCTAAATCTGTGTCATAATCCTCGGGATCGGTGTGCAAGGAAATACTTTCCTCCGTGAAATATTCCTCATCATCACTAAGGTTTTCATCGTCTGCGTCCAGAAATCCATCTTCCTGAATGTCATTATTATTCATTGAATCATCTTCGATCACTGTGTTCACATTGTTTTCGTTAAGAATTTTCTCTTTTTCAAGAACTGGAAGAAATTCCTCAAGAATTGGCGGTCTATTTTCCGCATCCTCATCCAGTTCTTCCACCAATGGCGACAACACTCGTCTGCTGAGGTCGCTGTCTTGTTTTTGCACCCTTAACAGGCTTGACATACTTCCCAACTGAATGAAACACTTAATTTTCAGAGTTTCTTTTCAATTTACCTAACAGCTACATCATATACTCTCAACCTGTAACATACAGAAGAAATTGCATTTAAAGTTCCTGCGATGTCTGCGGAAAATTGGCCGACATGTTGACATTACCGATTTGAGAGATACATTTCGATTGAATTTTGTGGTAAGTCTACTCGTCAATACAAGCAATAACACCGTACCTGTAATTTTAAATAACCATCAAAGACCACAGATTGGCGATACCAAGTTGACAGTGATATTTAATTTCAGTAAATGAATTCTGTGTACATATACAGGTATCAACCACATATAATGATAAGGGTCTCGGGGCATTAAAACTCTTGAATCTACCTACGAACTGTTCACTAACTATAGAGATGATCATTGTTATCTATTTTACTTCACTAATTTATGTCTAGATGTTTTTATTTGACCAAAATTTACAGTGATACTAAAGTAATGTTGACTTTGAGTAATAAAAGTTTCATCAGAAATTGATAAAGAGTCGTTGTTTGCAAATGTAATCATATCTTCTATGTTTAAACTTTTATAAAGTAGCTCTCTATTTACTCTTAAAATGAATTATGTAACTGGTCTATAATTTTCACTCTGTCACTTGTAAATTTTAATCGAAGTTTAAATACGATAATATAGCATTGCTTAGATAAATTAAAAGCACGATAAAAAGATTTTCTTAAAATAATGATAAAAAGATTCTGGTTTTTCTCTTCTGAAGAATGACGGACTAACAGTTAGGGATGTGATACGTGACACCCTGGATATAATGGCACCAAGATAATTTATTGGTATATTGCCATAAATAATACGTACGTAAACGGTGTCAGGGGGCCTGGGAAACTGTTATCATTTAATTCCTATCTAAATGTGGACGGGTTTGATCAGTTCGACATTAAATCACACGACATGTCTAAATGTCTACGTAGCAAAGAGAAACGACGACACTGAAGAAAAATGAATATTTTTAACGGTCGGTAACGATGTTTCGCGAATAAGTTTTCTTATAGTATTCTATTGTATTCTTACCATTGTAGTTTTTTTTTTTAATTTCAGATGTTCAATTTTGCCAGAAAAGAAATAGATTATATATCGTTATATATGGGTTTCTTTGTTATGATCAGCATGGATTAAACGCAAAGCAGAAATATGGCCTGTGAACGGGCCTAAATATGTTTATCCTAGTTTACATTCACCGTTTAAACTGTTTTGTCTTTTTTATTTGTATAAAGAAAAACAATCGAAGAACGGCACAAAATGAAACTATAATAAATGCCAAAGTACCCTAAAAATTTTAGTCCTAATTAGAAAAAAAAATGGGAAAGAGAATTAATCCCACTTTAACTTACACAAAGAGAAAGAAAGAAAAAAATGAGATAAATAGGGAAAATAATTACTCATTTCTGTTTTAAATCATAATGACTTAAACTTTTAGGTCGTTGACGACAAAATTGCATTCGAATCATCATACAGAACAATATCGATTTATAAATCACCCCAGTGTTAAACACACTATATTTTGTGGAATCGGTTTGAATTTCTAAGTAGCATCGATTTATTTTGTTACATTGGGTCTTTTTTTCATTAAAAAGGTTAAGAAATGCCGCAAGTGCAAATGATTTGTTCAAGAAAGATGGCGATTTTTAGCTTGAAAATTAAACAAAAAAACTCGAATCGTTAAATTGAGAATTAAAAATTTAAAAAAAGACTACAAATGATTAATTCTTAAATGTTTTTTACAAACAGGTTGATTAAGATTAATTTTCTTTCTATAGTAAATTTTAAACTTTGTCCACAGATCTTGCGATATGCAGCTTATAAACGGATTAAGATATAAATGCATTTAAACTTTGTCGGAAGGCAATGTTTGACTGCATCCTTTGTTTCATAATCACTTAATTACAAGCAAAATATCTTAAATTACAATCTAAGATACATTAAAATTTTCAAACAAATTCAATTTAAAGTGACTTAAAAATAAATATATTGCCCGATGGGTAAGATTTGTAAACATTTTAACTGTTTTATTTATGTCATGCGATTAATATCTCCACAAAACCTTAATACTCTACTCTTTTTACCGCAATATTTTCTTTAATTAAGTCATTAAAGTATTGTGCAAAGATTTTATTTCCAGGAGAACTCTACTTTGCGAAAAAAAGAGTAAAATAAAATTTCAAGCTTTTCTTATCTTACACTGGGACACATGCTCTGTAAAAAAAATACATGTACAAGTATATCAATACTATACTTGCATATAAAATATTTCTTATTTAACTGAATTTATGGACATCCTAAGACTCGAAGCTATAAACATGTAACTTTTTTTCTATTTAAAGGTCCTATCTCTGGCGGGAATAATGTCTTTTCACATCGGGAAAGAAATGGAAGAAGGATATTTTCTGCACAGAACATTGATCATCAGATAAAACATAGATGTCTTACTTTGAAAAAAAAAATTACAATCTTATTTTATCAGAAATCTCTGAAAATATCCCCCCAAGAGACATACTTCCGAAATCAGGTAAGGGCCAGCTTTGTACAAAAATCGTTACGTCCAAAAACGGATACCTTAATAAAAGGATATTTAAACATTTCAATAACGCACATGTCATATGTGTTTTAAGAATTTATGCAAGCCACTTTAAACGGAGGTTCTGTTATGTTGAGAAGTAGGGCTATTGATATTGATAAAATAGTAATTGTGTCGACTAATTCAGAGAGATATATCTAATTGATAAGATATACAAAGACCCTTAGCGGGTTAACAAAACAACCACTCAGAACTATATCACTATATTTATGCAATGCCCAAAACTTAGCATAAAAATATATATTCAAATATGTTTTGATAAACTATGAAAAATGAAATATTATATAAAAAAGGTCAGTGACGAATATTGAGTTAAATTAATAATTAAATAAATATCAAGGAGGAAGAAAATTTTTTTTCTAAAAGAATGTATCTCAAAATTACAAAAATGTGAAATTTTACGATTTTTAAGAGCAATTTTAAAACCACTCATTGGTTAACATTTTCTTACCTGACCAAAGTCGGATTATGCTAAGATTAAAAATTTCGTAACTATAGTACAGTCAGTTGCGATCCATACACTATAGATTCATTAACACATGAGAATTCACAAACTTCAGAGTCATCAGTAACCTTTGGCTCTACTTTGGTCGATTTTCGAATCCCATTTGGTTAAGTTCCGTTTGAAGAGGAAAAAAACCCATACGTAACGCGAGAGTCTTTCCGATCAGGCACCCATTATTGCCTGTACAGAACCATTGATCTGTTTAATTCTCGCCAGCAATTCATAATGTTGGCCGATTAGGTGTATTAGCCACGCTACCAAATCCTATACATCATCTGTATTGAGAGCAAATTATAACAAGTATTTAAATCTGGGTATAAATAAACACTTAAGCCTGCACTGTTTCCACCGTGCAAGGGTTTTACCCCTGCCAAGATGGTTAAAAAATGTTTTGTTTTTATGTTTAAAAGATGGTCCACTGATTGCGAGTTACGTCTTTGATGTTTAAAACAAAGAGGTTTGTGAGGGACAATTTGACAGGAACAAAATGGCACAGGATTATGTTTTGATTTATGTAAACAATATTGTCACTTTTTGTGGACAAAACATCCGAAGTGTCTTTAAAACGTCTTTCAAAATTGAATTTTATGTTCCTTACTATCATTTTGTTTATTTACTCCTATCACCATTACCTGTCTTTCTGTCTTTGAGGCTATCGCTGGTTCTGAGTTTAAAAAAAAAAGTATTATCAGCTACATGTATGGTTGGCATGAACTTTGAAAACAAGAAATACTACAAAAGCATGAAAACTAGAAGCTACTATTAGGGTTGACAACAGGTTGGGAAAAGAAGGGTAAAATTCTCTTTTTGGCCAACTTCGTCAATTAAATGGTATCAAGATATTCTGGGTTTCATGTTAAAACAAACAATAAACTTGACAAGCTAAATGAATTTATTAAATAAACCGGCCAAAAATAAGAGTGATTGGGTAGGATGACATATCAAATCTGAGAAATCCTTACAACGTTCATAAAATAGTTCATACTAATAAGGAGAAGACACATGTACAAAAATAGTTTTAAAAACGAATTGAGGGGTGTCAGCTACATTTGTCCAAGAAAGTCATTTGTGTTTGTCAAAAAAAGTTTCAGGTAAAGTCAGCTGCAATGAGCGACATTTTGTCCAAAACAGTGCTTCGGGTAAAGCCGCGGCATTTGTCCAGCATGGAAATTCTTGTAAGGTCAGCAACATTTATCCTAGACAATGCTTCTGGTATAGTCAGCGGCGAGGGACATTAAGAAAGGTGTCAGTTAATTGAGAGACTTTAATGAACATAGAGCTTCCAGTAAAGAAGTGGCATGAACGACTTTTGACTAAGATGCCGTTTCAGGCGAAGTCAGTGGCATTGAGCAACATTTGAATAAGACAGTGCTTTTGGTAATGTCAGCAGCATTTAGCGCCATGTATCAAACACAGTAGTTCTTTTAAACAAGGCAATACTTTATATAAAGTTAGCTGCATTACAGTCCTTTTGGTAAAGTCAGCGGCATTTAGCAACATTTGAACAAGACAGTGCTTTTGGTAAAGTCAGTTGCATTCTGTAACATTCAAAAAAACAAGAGAAAAGCTTTTCATAAGTCAGCAAAAAATAAAGAAATTTTCACCATTAACTGTTAAAGAGTTACCATATATGAAATGTCATTTAATCTGAAATATACAACCAGATATGAATGTTTCTGATTCTTTACAACTAAACCAAGGAAGCTTGTTGTCAATCCTGTTTCAGTAATCCTAAATGTTTGTTTAACATTGTGTCTTAATTAAGTAAGAATGCTGCTTATAATAACTGATAAAAAAATGTAGTTATTCCATACATGTAAAAATAAAGAAAGCCACTCATTTACTGAAAAGTAATCATATATTTAAAATATCTTTCAATCTGAAATATATAACCAGATTTGAATGTAATTCTCTTCCATAAATTTAACTATAGGAAGCATGATTTTTCGTATATTTTCCAAAAGTGAAAATGTTCTTCATA